GGGACACATCGAGTGGCTGCCACCCGCACGACCAACCAGGGCCGGGGACAAACTGCAACCGAGGTACGTGCCCTTAGGGGGAACCAAACCCGGGTCTCTCTGTACCGCAGGCCGACGCTCTAACCGCTGAGCCAAACCGGCCAGGGCCAAATTTTTAATTTTTTTCTTTCTTTTAATTTGTTTTGTTTTTCAGTTACAGATTACATTCAATATTATTTTGTATGTGTTAGTTTCAGGTGTACAGCATGGTGGTTAGATAGTCACATACTCCATCGAGTTTCCCCCTGATATTTCCAGTACCCACCTGGCACCGTACATAGTTATTGCAACATTATTGACATTCCCTATGCTGTACTTGACCTCTCGTGACTATTTTGTAACTACCCATCTGTACTTCTTAATCCCTTCACCTTTTCACTCCCCTCTGGCAACTGTCATTCTGTTCTCTGTAAGAACCCTTTTTCTAAAGGTCACATTCATAAGTTCCAGGGGTAATGCCCACATCAGACATATCTTTTTGGAGGCCATAATTCAACCCACTAAAAACCAAAGGCAGATCATATCCCTGCTCTGCTCAGAACCTACCTAAGGCCCCATCTTCACCACGGTCCTGGTAACCCTGCATGATCTGCTCCCCTCACCTCCCAAACTCACCTTCCCCTCTCCTGCATGCCCGCTCTGCTAAAGACACACTGGTCTCCTTGCTCTTCCCATTCCACACCAGGCACACTCCTGCCTCAGGCCCTTTGCACTGGCCTTTCCTCTGCTTGGAACACTCTTCCCTAAGGAAGTCCATGTAGCACCCTCCTTCCCCTCCTTGAAGTTTTTCCCTCAGGTATTCCCTTCTCAGCAAGGCCTTCCCTGACTTAATTAAAATTGCAAACAACCCAACCCCGCCCTTACTCATCCCTCTTCCCTGACTGTAGTACTTATTAACTTCTAACATATAATTTACTTACTTTGGTTTTTGTCTGTCTTTCCTGTCTGTTTTGTCCTCAGCGTTTTCCCCAGTACCTAAAACAATGCCAAATACACAGGCAGTCAATAAATATGTGTAAAATTCATGAACAGCCTTGTGAAAAGCAAGTGGTATTGTTATTATGCCCGTTTTGCAGATGGAGAAACTAAGGCACAGATGCATTGTCATTTTTCAAGGTCAAACAGTCACATAAGTGTGGAAGCTTATATTCAAATTGAACATCTGGTTCTGGAACCCACCTCTCCAGTACTAGTTTTTTGTTTTTTTTGTTTTTATTTTTTTTATTTTATTTTTATCCTCACCCGAGGACATTTTTCCATTTTTTGCACAGATAGAGTGGGAGGGAGAGAGAGGAAGAGAGAGAGAGAGAAACATCGATGTGAAGGGACACATCGAGTGGCTGCCACCCGCACGACCAACCAGGGCCGGGGACAAACTGCAACCGAGGTACGTGCCCTTAGCAGGAACTGAACCCGGGTCTCTCTGTACCGCAAGCCGACGCTCTAACCGCTGAACCAAACCGGCCAGGGCTGTTTTTTTTGTTTTTAGTTAATATTCACCTGAAGATATTTTTCCATTGATTTTTAGATAGAGTAGAAAGGGGTGGGGGGGACATGGATGTGAGAGAGACACATTGATTGGTTGCCTCCCGCATGGCCCCGGGGCCAGGGTTCGAACCTGCAACCAACGTACATGCCCTTGACCAGGAATTGAACCTGAGACCGTTTGGTCCTCGGGCTGATGCTCTAACCACTGAGTCAAACTGGCCAGGCCAGTACTAGTGTTCTTTTTAAACATCTCAGGTCTATTGCTTTGGTGAAAATACAACAGAAGTTAAGATTAAACCCCTCATTACAGACCCTGTAATTACTATACAGTTTGAAAACCAGCCTAGCCCGTGTGGCTCAGTGCATTGAGTATTGGTCCATGGACTGAGAGATCTCAGTTCAATTCCTGGGCAGGGCACATCCCTTGGGTTGCCATTGCAGGCTTGCTGGGGGAGGGTGCAGGAGGCAGCCTATCAATGTTTCTCTCTCTAAAAAAATTAATAAAAACATATTTTAAAAAAAGAAAAGAAAGCCAAAGGTCATTAACAATTTCAATGAACTCCCTCTATTTCCTTCCTATTTTGGATTTTTAGTGGTCATCCCAGCTCCCCAGCCTCAGGGTGCTCAGTCCTATCCCCTACTTCTCCAGGCCTTACCCTCCCTAAGTCTTGCTGTTGTCCATGTCAGCTTCCCTAATTTCACATAGGCTGTTCCAACCCCTTAGTCTTAATACATTTCTCACCAAGGCCTTCACAAATAAATAAAAGGCAAACGTGTTTCCTGCCCCACATCCCCCTCCCTCATCCTGAAACCCTTCTGCCAACCACCTCTAAGGCTGTTATCTCCTTGTTATCTTCTGCTTCTGGTGACCTCTGGTTGTTATCTGCTGCTGTTGGTGACCTCTGGCATTTCAAATAACCTTGGTCTGTTGCCATTTCTTTTTTTGATTTTTTATTGATTTTTTTAGAGAGAAAGGAAGGACAGAACTTATATGCATGTATGCGTAACCAATGGATATAGACAACAGAGCTGGGGACAGAGTGGGGGCTGGGGATTGGGAGGAGGGTGTCAGTGGGGGAAAAACATCTGTAACAAAAATAAATTAATAAAAATAAATTTAAAAAGCCCAGCTGGTGTGGCTCAGTGGTTGAGCATCAACCCATGCACCAAGAAGTTAAGGTTGCCACTTTGATTCCCAGTCAGGGCACATGCCTAAATTGTGGGCCCAATCCCCATTGGGGGGCATGCAGGAGGCAGCGAGTCAATGTTCGCTCTCATTGATGTTTCTATCTCTCTCTCCCTCTCCCTTCCTCTCTAACAGTAATAAAGAAAAAAAAATTAAAATAAATAAATAAACGGTCCATCTGTTAAAAAGAAAAGAAAGAAAGGAAGGAAGGAAGGGAGAGAGAGAGAGAGAGAGAGAAACATCGATCAATCAGCTTCTCCTGCACACCCCCAGTATCGAGCTGGCAACCTGGGCATGTGCCCTGACCACTGAGCAACACTGTCTGGGCTGTGGCCATTTCTTGCTGGATCCATTTGCTGCATCTCTGTTTGTCTCCCTGTAATGAGAGGAGGGGTCTAGCTGAGCTCTGCCCTCCCCAATCTGGGATCCTGAATATAGGGGTACAATAAAAATGCAATTCTGACCCACCCCTAAGTCCCACTCTTAAGGCAACCACTTCTGAGGCTGTTGCTTCTCTCAATAATAATACTTTTCTGGCCCTGGTTGGTTTGGCTCAGCGGTTGGAGCATTGGCCTGCGGTCCGGAGAGACCCGGGTTCGGTTCCCGCTAAGGGCACATACCTCTGTTGCAGTTTGTCCCCGGCCCTGGTTGGGTCGTGTGGGTGGCAACCACTCCATGTGTCCCTTTCACGTGGATGTTTCTCTTTCTCTCTCTCTCTCTCTCTCCCCCCCCTCCCACTCTATCTGAACAAAATATATCAAAAAATGTCCTTGAGTGAGGATAAAAAATTAAAAGTTAAAAAAAATATATAAAAATAATAATAATACTTTTCTGCATTTATCTGGTAATTTCCTGCCTCTTTCACTGACAGAAGTTGGGGGGAAGGATTCTCCAATTAATATCTGCAGTTGTTGCCTTAATTCCTGCTCGGAAGATATGATGAGATATGGGATCAAAAACAAATTTGTAGAAATCCCTATCAGTTGACTTTAGAAAAAAATCTAATACAAACAGACTCCCAACGGAAAACCTAGCCTCTCCTTCCCCCATCCTGCTCCCCCCCACCCCCAGAGCTAGGGCTGTTACTCAACCTCTCAACCTTGAAGTCGCCATTTCATTGTCTAAGTTTTTAAATCATTAATTTAATTTATGTAACTACTTAAAAATTTTTTTTTTCCTTTATTGATTTGTTTTTTTATCCTCACCCAAGGACATTTTTGGGTTTTTTTTGTTTTGTTTTTTTAATTTATTTTTTAAATTTTATTTTTGTTACAGATGTTTCTCCTTTTTTACCCCATTGACCCCCTCCTCCCCATGCCCCCATCCGTGTCCATTGGTTATGCACACATGCATATAAGTTCTGTGGTTTATCTCTTCCCTCCCCCCACCACTCCCTCTTCTGAGGGTTGTCAGTCTGTACCCTACTTCCATATTTCTGGGTCTACCCTATTCCTCAGACTGTTATGTTCATTATATTCCATATATAAGTGAGATCATGTGGTATTTGTCTTTTTGTGCTTGGCTTGTTTCACTTAGGATAATACTTTCCAGGTCCCTCCATGTCGTCTCAAAGGATAAGAGATCTTTCTTTCTTACAGCTGCATAGTACTCCATTGTGTATATGTACCACTGCTTTTTTATCCATTCGTCTACTGATAGACACTTGGGCTGTTTCCAGATCTTAGCTATTGTAAATAGTGCTGCTATGAACATGGGGGTACATATGTTATTTCTGATTGGTGTTTCAGGTTTCTTAGGGTATATTCCGAGAAGTGGGATCACTGGGTCATATGGAAGTTGAATTTTTAATTTTTTGAGGTAATACCATATTGTTTTCCATAGTGGCTGCACCAGTCTGCATTCCCACCAGCAGTGCACTAGAGTCCCCTTTTCTCCACACCCTCACCAACACTTGTTGTTTGATGACATTTTTGCATTTATCTTCAGATAGAGTGGGAGGGAGAGAGGAAGAGAGAGAGAAACATCACGTGAGAGAGAAACATCACGTGAGATACACATCAGCTGGTTGCCACCCACATGACCACAACCAGGGCCGGGGACAAACTGCAACTGAGGTATGTGCCCCTAGCAGAACCCGAACCCAGGTCTTTCTGGTCTGTGGGACAATGCTCTAACCACTTAGCAACCAGCCAGGGCTCTTTATTGATTTTTAGAGAGAGAGGAAGGGAGAGGGAGAGAGAGAGAGAAAAATCCAGGAGAGAGAACATCCATTGGCCACCTCCTGCATGCCCCCCACTGTGGACAGGGCCCACAACCTGGACATGTCCCCTGACTAAAATCAAACCAGCAACATCTGGTGGCATCGGTGGATGCTCAACCACTGAGCCACACCGCCGGGTTGTAACTACTTTTGACTAGGCAGTGCATGCCATGGTACAAAAATCACAAGGTCTGTAGACGAGAAAAGATGGGGGATTTATTTCTTCTTCTGTTTTTTAATACGTTTTTCATTGATTCCGGAGAGAGAGGGAAAGGGGGAGAAGGGGGGTAAACATCCATCTGTTGCCTCCAGAACTCTCACCTACCGGGATCGAAGGACAACCTAGGGTTGTGCCCTCCAACCGCAACCTTTTGGGGTCCGGGGTCCGGGAGGACGCTCTAACCATCTGACCACCCAGTCGGGACATGAGGTTTCGTTTTTTTTGTTTTTTTTTTTTACCTGTGGTTCCCCTAGCATGCACGGTGGCTCTGGGGTGGGGGGTAGCAAAGCCCATCCCCCAGCCGTTTACACCCCCGCACCCCCACCCCCGCCCGGTTAGCAGGACCGTGGGGGTGGCCTTGCTCCCTGCAGGGAGCGGGCGGAGCCGGCTGAGCGCGGGAGTGGGAGGTGCAGGAGTCGCGCAGACTCCCTGCTGAAGTAGGTGGAGCCTCCTCGGTCCCGCGTCGGCCTTATATTCGCCCCTGCTCAGCCAGTTGGGGCAGAAGCCGGGACCCCGCGGACGCAACAGCTGTGGCTTGCTGGGTAAGGCGGAGGCCCCTCTGGCTAGGGTAGGGTAGGTAGGGTAAGGGAAGGGAAGATGGCTTGGGGGTGGGCTGTGAGCTGACAGGCAGGCCCGGATGGTCCTGGGCTCCTGGCTTAAGCTGGCTGGTGGGTACCTGAGGATCAGAACAGAGGAGCCACCTGGAAAATGCCTCCTGCGTCGTCCCAGGGCTGGCAAAGGCCAGGCACAAAGATTTGGGGCCCCGCTGACCCCATCCGGAGCTGTCTCTTTGGGAATGTCTAGGTTAGAACTCAAGAGAAGGGAAGGTGCTAATGGGGAGCAGGGTGGACGCTAAGGGGAAGGAGGTAGGGTGAGCCCTAAAAGGATGACTACCACAGATTGTTGGGAAGAAAACAGCGGCATTGGACTGGAGGGATTTCGAAATCCCTGCTGACCAGCAGTCTGCTTCCTCCTTTGGGGGTGGTGGCGCGGTGCCAGTGGCCCCCGTGATCACGGACAAGAGACCCAGCCCAGCCCATGAGCCCCAAGGCTGATTTGCCTTCTATGATGTCTCCCAAAAACCCAGAACACCCCCACACAGTGCCAGCTTTTGTTCCCACAGTTTGGAGACCCTGACACACCTACTTTCTCACCTGTGCTTTGCGTGCCCCTGGCTGCCTGACAAGATGAAGCTTAAACTGATGTATCAGGAGGTAAGTGGATGGGGCGGGCCCCAGTGGGGAGGGACTGGGTGCAGTGGAGAGTGGGGGCTCCCCCATCACCCCCAAACCATCCCTGTTCCCCAGCTGAAGGTGCCTACTGAAGAGCTGCCCATGAGTAAGAGCGAGGCTTGGAAGGCTGCTGAGAAGGTAGGAGCCCACCACCACCCTCCATCTGTGTCAGGCATGGACTGACTGTCCACCCTCAGTTGGCTGACCACTTCTTCCCACAGAAAGCCCGCTGGGTCCTGCTGGTCCTCATCCTGGCTGTTGTGGGTTTCGGTGCCCTGATGACGCAGCTGTTCTTTTGGGAATTTGGTGACTTGCATCTCTTTGGGCACGCCCGTCCCCCACCCGTTTGCTATGACCCCTGCAGGTAAGTGGGGAGCCTCAGATGGTTTGAGGAGGGGTCCTACCAAGCCAGGAGACAGATACACCACACAGGGCCTGTACTCAGTATCACCCAGTGCCCATGACTCTGAGATGATTGTAGACTTCCAAGTGCACTGTCACAGGCTCTTCCCTCCTGCCCAGCCCCCCAGCCCCTGACACTGTTCCCATGGTAGCCACAGCATCATCTTCTGTCCAGGTCTGTTAATAGACAGGCACACACGGGTACACATGGCATCTTCCATCTACATCTGGGGACAGGCACACACAGACATCCACATAGACCTTTCACATCTCTCGATAGACAAATGCATGAACTCAGAGAATCAGGACCACAGGCACACACACATTACACAGTCTTCTATCCTCTGTGGGCAGACAGGTGACCCGGTGGTCTCCAGCCCCCTGAGGCTGATACTGCCTCACCATCCCGCAGAGCAGTGGCGGTGGAGAGTATCCCTGAGGACATGGAGTATCTCATTGATGACATGAGCGAACCCACCACCAGCCAGGCCTGGCTGGGCCTGATTGCCAGGGCCCGCAAGAGCCTGGACATCGCCTCCTTCTACTGGACCCTCACCAACAATGACACCCACACTTGGGATCCCTCTGCCCAGCAGGTACCTGGCAACTTGGGCCCTAGCAGACAGCAGGGGGCAGTAGGAGGCACTGGGAGTGTGTATGGGGCGGGGAGAAAGGAGTTTTCCTGCAATCCAGGAGACGGGGCAGCACGTCTCACACAAGGGGTTAGACACAGGTGTTTGGAAGCGACTGTCTTCACACAGTCCTCTGGACCGGGGGCATTTGTCACGGTCATCTGTAGGCCTCTGAATGTCATGTACGGGTTTGGTTTCAAGGGATTAGGCTGGCAGATGTCACTTACCCGTAAACTACCCCAGCCTTGTCACACCAAGAAATGGAAGAGCAGAGTGAGAAATAGCCCAGCTTCTAGTCAGGCTGCCACTTCCTAAGTCTGTGACCTTGGACAGGTCACTTCTCCTGACCTGCGCAGGCGAGGCCTCAGTTTCCCCATCTGCGGAATGGGGCCAGTACCCAGCACCCACCCCTTGTGAGGATGAAACGGGCTAATCCATGTAAATTATAGCCCTTAAGAAGCATCGGTTTTTATTCTATCCTTGTTATGGTTTGCAGACAAAGTTAAAAACCATAAAGTTTCAAGGTTTGGAAAGGAACAGTCTATCTTCATTGATAAACAGTTTTCCCTTCCTCTCTTTGCTGCCTCTTTCTGTGAGAAATGGGCTTAAAATGTGTGAACACTGTGGGGCTCTTCAAGCACAAAAGTTAGAAATGATAGGCGCTCGCACTCCCTGCTGGCTCCCATTGGAGTGTTCAAGGCATAGGTGCAGGAGGCAAACGGTCTGGGTTCGAATCCTGCTTCATCGTTGAATCCTGCAGCGCCTGGTTTTCTCTTCCGCATCTTGGGGATGTTACTCAGACCTGCCTTATCGGCGAGAGTGGTGAGAGTTCAGCGAGTTCAGATGTGAAGTCATTGTAGGAGCCAGGGAATCGTGAGCTGTTACACCTCCTGTACCTTCCCGGACCCCCAGTATCCTATAAGGTGCCTGAAGGCCCCTGTGGTGCCAGGCATTGACGTTCCCTGGCAGGATCTTGGGAAAGTCCCTGGAAGGACAGGAGTGGCAGGGATGCCCTGGCAAGGCTCAGAGTGGCCAGTTAGTAAAATAGATAAATGTTTGCCCGGCCGGTTTGGCTCAGTGGTTGAGCATCAACCCATGCACCAAGAGGGCACCAGTTCAATTCCCGGTCAGGGCACATGCCCTGGTTGTGGGCCCGATCCCCAGTGGGGCGCATGAAGGAGGCGGCCAATGGATGTTCTCTCTCATCAGTGTTTCTCTCTCTCTCTCCCTCCCTTCCTCTCTCTCTCTAAAATCAATAAAGAAAAAAATTATTTAAAATAAAATAGATAAAGCTTTTAATATCTTAATCCATAAAGCCATCCCTAGGTGTACTGGCTAATGTAAATCCCACTCACTCGTGATCTCTTCTGGAAGCCCAGTCTCGAAACAACCCCGTGGGGTGCTGCGTGGGGTTAGAGAGCTGGTTGGCCCGGCCCCACAGAGGCTCTTCTCTTGCCTCAGGGCGAGGACATCCTCGAGCAGCTCCAGACGCTGGCACCTCGAGGTGTGAAGGTTCGCATCGCTGTGAGCAAGCCCAGTGCGTCCCAGCCCCAGGGGAACCTGCAGGCCATGCTGCGGAGCGGTGAGTCAGAGGGTAGCCCAAGGAGAGCTGGGCCGAGGGCTGCCGTCCAAGCTGGCCCCTGACCACCACCCCTGTCGGTTGCAGGTGCCCAGGTCCGCATGGTGGACATGCAGAAGCTGACCCATGGCGTCCTGCACACCAAGTTCTGGGTGGTGGACCAGACCCACTTCTACCTTGGCAGTGCCAACATGGACTGGCGCTCCCTAACTCAGGTCTGCCAGCACCCTGCCCACCCACCTTTCAAGGTCACTCCATGCTCCATAGGTGCCCAGCCTCCTACTACACCCTTCTTCCATCCCAGAGTTCTCTATCCAGTCCACAGTGGCTTCCGTCCCACTTCCTACCAGGAACGTCCCCAAATCCAGCCCCCTACTGTCCTCCTCCTGCCCATGGAAGCCTGGGGCTTCCTCTCATCCCAGTGACAGCTGCCAGCCCCTCTGCAGGGCATTCAAGGCCCTGTCCACCCTTCTTGCCTTCATTATTCATTCTCTGAATGCCTCTTCTAAGCCCGGCTCTGTTCTGGGTAAAGCTGGGAACACCATGGTAACAGATGGACCTCTCAGAACTCAGTCCAGTGCAGAGACAGGCCAGTCACCAGGCAGTGTCAAGGCAGGGATCGGGAAGCACAAGCGGGGCAGTCCCGGCCAGAATGGGGGCCCCAACCTGGGGTATCCGGGAAGGGCTCCCAGAGGAGGTGATAACTAATCTGATATGGGTATAGCTCAGGCAGTGATCATTTGCTCAGTCCCTAATCTCACCAACTCCTCGGGGAGATGCTGAACATACAGCTGTGGCTGAGACATCCCTGGTGCCTGTCCTCCCAGTCCAATGGGGGGATGGGTTTGTCACCAGAGAGAATGATGAGGGAAGCCCAAGGGACCGTGAGAGCCCAGAGGAATGCCTAAAGTAGTCCGGGTGGGCAGTCAAGGGAGGCTTCCTGGAGGAGGAAACTGTCAGCTGAAACCTAAGAATGACAAGGAGCTTCTTCATTGGAGGGTAGAGGTGACAGCATATGCAAAGGTTTGGGAAACCTGGAGCTTTGGAATGACATTTTCATGCCCATCCCAGGGCTTTAGATGGTGGGCTGGCGGGTGGAGCTAACGGGCAAAAAAAAAAGGGTAGACAGGGACAGAGAGAAGGGGAGATTGAGGGGCATGGGAAGGAATGGGGGCGGCAGGTGTCCATGTTACCTGTGGGCACCAGGTCACTACCCCAGGCTCAGCACTGCCCTCCCACAGGTCAAGGAGCTGGGCGTGGTCATGTACAACTGCAGCTGTCTAGCTCAAGACCTCACCAAGATCTTCGAGGCCTACTGGTACCTGGGCCAGGAGGGCAGCTCCATCCCGTCAACCTGGCCCCAGTCCTTTGACACCCGCTATAGTCAAGAGTCACCAATGGAGATCTGCCTCAACGGGTCCCCTGCTCTGGCCTACCTGGCAGTGAGTCTGAAGGAAGAGGGGGCTGTCACGCCCTGGCCACATGCCCTCACCTGTGGCCTCCATCCCACCCTGCCCAGGGATTAGTGGGGAGGGAGTCCTGACCACTAGCCCTCACTCCTGCTCACTGTGCTCCATCAGCCTGAGCTATGTCCCAACCTCCCTAGGCTTCAGTTTCATCTAGAAAATGGTTATCATGATGTTTCCAACCTCTTAGGGCTTGCATGGACCTAGCCCTTCCTCCCCATTAGCCCTGAATCGGGTTGAAAACTCCGCTCCTCCGGTGCACTAGCCACGTGCCAGGTGCTCAGCGGTCGCAGGGAGCGAGCAGCTGCCACAGTGGACAGCGCAGGTGTGGAAACCTTTCCATCGCTGCAGAAGGTTCCACTGGACAGCGCCGTGGTCGCCCGTGGCAGATGTGGGCACTCTAGACAAGGCACTGCTGGCTTTTGTGTTTTCTTTTTAAGTTTAAAAGAAATATTTTTTAATAGATAGAGAGAGGGAGGGAGAGAGAATCAGCAGTCAATTTCCTCCTGTATATGCCCTGACCAGGAATCGAACCTGTGACCTTTCATTGTGTGGGATGCCGCTCCAGCCAAGCCACATCAGCAGGGCAAGGCACTGCTGGGTTTTTTTGTTGTTGTTTTGTTTTTGTTTTTGTTATTATTTTCTTTATTGATTTTTTTTTAGAGAGAGGAAAGGAGAGGAAGAGAGAGAACATCGACTGGTGCCTCCCGCATGCCCCCCACTGGGGATCGGGCTCACAACCTGGGCATGTGCCCTGACCGGGAATCGAACCGGCGATCTCTTGGTGAATGTGTCGACGCTCAACCACTGAGCCACACCGGCTGGGCGGCACTGCTGTTTTTAGCTATTGATATTTTTACTAGTTGGGGTGGCCAACCTCGTCCCCTTCAGTCCCCCCAAACAAGTCACCTGCCCAAGCCCAGTCACTGTGGAGGTCCACACAAAGGCGCATGGATGCTGGACGGGACTGAGGGCCCCCTCATTACCACTTCCCGTCTCAGAGCCTCCCCATTAGCCCTGAGTTTGCTCACCAGTCGTGAGGATGGAGAGAGGCGGGTAAAGGGCTGATGTGGCGTGGGCACACGAGGAGTGTCATCAGGGGACCTGTGCGTGAGTCAGGGGCAAAAGCAATTAGAGCAGAAGGCCTCAGCCGTGGCCGGTTTGGCTCAGCGGTTAGAGCGTCGGCCCACAGACCAGAGAGACCCGGGTTCGGCTCTCACTAAGGGCACGTACCTCAGTTGCATTTTGTCCCCGGCCCCGGTTGGGGTCGTGCGGGAGGCAGCCACTCGATGTGTCCCTTTCACATCGATGTTTCTCTCTTTCTCCCTTCCACTCTACTATCTGAACAAAAAATGGAAACATGTCCTCGGGTGAGGGTAAAAAATAATAATAATAGAGCAGAAGTCCTCAAACCTGAGCGCGCGTCAGGACCACCGGGAGTGCTGTCAAGCCCAGGTTCCGGGGTCCCACCTCAGCACCCTCATTCTATATGTTGTGTGCAGTGAGGCCCAAGAACCTGCAATTCCAACAAGCTCCCAGGTGATGCTGGATCAGGGACCTTTTGTCACGAACCACTGGGTTAGAGCCTAAATTCTGGAACCACACAGCCTAGGTTCAAATCAGCTCCATTTCTCAGCTGTGTGACTCAGGCAAGTCATTTACCCTCTCTGATCCTGTTTCCTCACCTGTGAAATGGGCATCAAAACCGTTTCTCCCCATCATGGAGGCTGCGGATTCAGTGAGACCTGCAGGCCTGGCTAGCGATAAGCTGTCTGTGCATGGGGCCCATTGCGATGGCACGTGTCCTGACTGTCCCCTCGCCCCCAGAGTGCACCCCCACCCCTGTGTCCAAGTGGCCGCACCCCGGACTTGAAGGCTCTGCTCCACGTGGTGGACACTGCCCAGGATTTCATCTACATCGCCGTCATGAACTACCTGCCCGCCATGGAGTACACCCACACGCGCAGGTACTGGGGGCTGTGTGGGCAGGGCTAGGGGCAGGGGCCGCTGGAGTGGGAGAGGGAGTGAGGGGGCCCAGAAAGCAGTCAGTGGAGCCAAGGCAAGGGGGTAGGTGGAGGGGAAGCGATGGGGAGAGGGGCTCTGGGTGTTCAAGCCAGGGGCAAAGGGGACAGATAAGGATGAGAATATTGGGGTTAGGGGGCTGAGATGGGGACTGGAAGCCTGGAGCAGGGGGTGTAGGTCTTCTGGAGGTAGGAAGCAGGGAGCATGGGCTGGAGACAGTTGAGGGCTTGGGGAATGGGGGCTAAGGGTTTTCAGGTTTGGGGGCTCAGGAAAGAGTCTGGAGGCAGCAGACAAGATGATGGAAAGACAGTTTGGGGGACAACAATGGGAGCCAGCGTCGGGGAATAGAGGGTGCGGGATGTAAGGAGGCAGGAACAGGACTGGGAGCCAGAGCTGGGTGGTCTGAGGTTTTAGGGGCTCTCAGAAGCCGAAGCAGGGCCCAGGCCTGGCTCCAGAAAGCCGACGGTGAGGCTTGTAGATAAAGCCGCCCTTCGTACCCTGCACCCCTCCCCAAGGTTCTGGCCCGCCATCGACGACAGGCTGCGGCGGGCGGCCTATGAGCGGGGCATCAAGGTGCGCCTGCTGATCAGCTGCTGGGGTCACTCCCAGCCGTCCATGCGGGCCTTCCTGCACTCCCTGGCTGCCCTGCGCGACAACCGTACCCACTACGACATCCAGGTGGTAAGCACCTGCCACAGACCCACTCCTTAGCCCTGCGCTGGGCAGCGCTGGGCACACGGTGCTTGTGGCGCTCACCTGTCATCCGACAGACAACCCAGAGTGCACCATGCGATGATGGGGGGACCAAGCATCAGACACAGATCCGGGGGGGCGGGGTAGAGGGGTCAGGGTGGGATGGAGGAGCCCAGAGGAAGCACCTGCCCCCGCCTGGAAAGGGGGACGTCTGAGGGGCTGTTCTAGAGGGAATGGGTGGCAGATGAAGTGGCTGGGTCCTCCCGGCCAGCACTGATGAAGCTTACCCTCCAGGCCCTGATCTGGCCCCCAGCCTTCCGTGGACTCCCCAGTCCTACAGACCTGGCCCCACTCCTCACCCCAGACCCGGGGGCTTCTCTAACCCCCACTGCGCCTCCCACTGCTTCCCCGGCTCCCCTCTCCCCAGAAACTCTTCGTGGTCCCTGCGGATGAGACCCAGGCCCGGATCCCATATGCCCGAGTCAACCACAACAAGTACATGGTGACCGAACGTGTGGTCTACGTCGGTGAGTGTTCGCGCACCGCCGGGGGATGGGAGAGGGAGTCCAGGCACTGCCACGGGCCCTGACTCTGCCCCTGCCCCTGCCCCGTAGGAACCTCCAACTGGTCTGGCAGCTACTTCACAGAGACGGCGGGCACCTCGCTGCTGGTGACACAGAACGAGCAGGAGAGCCTGCGCGGCCAGCTGGAGGACATTTTCCTGAGGGACTGGAACTCCCCTTACAGCCACGACCTCAACGCCACAGCTGACAGTGTGGGCAATGCCTGTCGCCTGCTCTGAGGCCTGTCCCAGCAGACTGCCCGAGGCCTGCAAGGCCCCCACAGACCCAGATGTCCTGGGTCATGGCCGCTGCCCCTGTGCCCCATTTCTGTCCGTTCCATTGTGGCTCCAGAGCCCCCCCTTGCTCTCCCACCTCTACCTCTGCCCCACCAGCCTGAGTCTGTGGCCCCAGGTCCCAGCCGAGCTGAGGGAGGGATCAGTCCCAGAAGAAGTGGGGGTGCATGCTGGGCCCGGCCCACCCCCTTCCCAGGGCAAAGCGGGCCCAAGGTTATAAGAAGAAGTAAAGAACTTGTGTGCACAGCCTCTGCCTGACTGAGTGGTGTGAAGTGGGGTGTCGGGGTAGGGGCAGCCAGCATGGGCCTCTGGTGGGGACATGAGCGTGTACACTGAGCTTTTAGCATGTGCTTGGCATGTACCGAGCACAGAGCATATGACTGGCATGTGCTGAGCCCTCAGTGAGTGGCCACTGCTGAGCATATAGCATGTGGCCCACTGGTTTAGCATGAGCTGAGCCCTCAGCATGTAACCACACAGAATGGCATGTGACTGGTGTGTGTGCTGAGCCCTTAGAGTGCAATGCATCTGAGCTGGCATGTGCTGAGCATGCAACGTGTGACCACGTGGCTGGCGTGTGCTGAGCGTCTGGAGCCAGCATGGGGTGGTGTGTGCCGCACGTTGAGCATGTTCCCGGTGGATGGGCACGCACTGAACCATCACCATATCCCAAGGGCGGACTCGCATGTCTGAACGCTGGAGCGTGCACCGAGCATGAATTTGCACCTGCCAAGTGAATTTACACTTAGCATGTCCCAAGCACAGATGAGTGCATGGCAAGCCTGTAACGTGTGACAAGGACAGGTAAACAGACAATTGGACCTTGGCATCTGGCAAGCTTGGATTGGCACCTGTTGCACACAGAATGTGCTGAGGGTGGGTTCTCATGTGCCAAGCACTTTGCATATGTAGGGGTAGGGTCAGTGTGCCAAGCACAGCCAGTGTCAGGGCAGCTCAGCCTCCAGCGTGAACCAATGGCTGACTGGTCCAACATCCAAGAGCAAGGTCTGGGCACCAGCTTGAACCCCACCCCAGTGCCAGGCAGGGAGGACGGAGTGAGGCAGGGCTGTGAAAAGTTCTTTATTGAAATAGGCAGAGTCAACAGGGCCAAGAACGTGCTCACGGCCAACAGGATGCAGCCACCTTTCTGTGTCCCTCTGACTGAGGTGGCCACAGGCCAGACACCAAGGCCCTCCTGTGTTTGGGGGTGGTGTGTGCAGGCATGCACTGTGGGTGGGGAGTTGGGAGTCTCTGGATAACTGTCTTTCTGTAAGAATCTGTGGGTCAGGGGATGGCTCTGAGGAAGGGATGCCAGCCCAGCTAACTCAGCCACCAGTGATGGGTAGAGGTGGGGTCACCATCAGTGCTGCCCGCCGACATGCTGCAGAAAGCTGGTGGCCCGGGGCGGACCATGAGGGTGGGCATGGCAGGGTGGGAGCCCCTGAGCCTGTGGGCCCCTGATGCCCTCTAGGGTCCAGTCTGGCTCACTCAGCCATTCCCCAGGACAGCTGCTGGGGTCGAAGAGCTCAGGGCTTGGCCTCTGTGGGGGAGAAGAGAGGGCATCAGCCAAGAAGCCATCGGCCTGCCCCTCATGGACCCCCTCCTGTCCCACCTGAACCCTTGTCACTTCCTGAGGACAACTCTGTACCTTTGCAGCCCTCAGCACATCCTGGGGGTTTTGATAGTGTGTGCTGAGACCACAGTGGGTCCTGAGGTGTGTTAGTGTCTGCTGAGGCCTTCTGTCACATCTTCCTGAGGGCGGGTGAGCATGTGCCAAGACCTTTTCTTAGTGCTGGGCCTCCATCACTTGCTACAGGTGGATCACTGTGTTCTGAGTTTTTCCCCTGCCTGATGGTAGATTCGCACACGCAGAGCCTCGTCATATCCTAATTATATCCTGAGTATGGGTGAGTGTGTGTGGAACCTTGTCACATCCCAAGGGCGGACTGGCATGTGTGGGATCCTGAGCCAGCTGCTGGCAAGGCAGAGGAGTGGGGAGCCAAGGCCGGGTTCACTGTCCCTGCCTTGGAGCTCTGGGGGAGCCCCTGACCCCGGAACCACCCGCGCCCTTCCTGCCCACCTGATTACCTCAGCGTCCATCGTCATGTCCTTGAAGTCCGGCCCGTCCCCGTCCCGCTTCGGGATGCTGGGCGGCTTGGCGGAGGCCCCGCGGTGCTCCCCTTCTGCCCAGCCGCTGCCCCTGCAGGGCCCATCGTCCTCCGGGGAGGCCTGGCTCAGCCTGATGAGGTTGCTGAAGTTGGAGTCAGACTTGGAGCCTGTGGGCGGCTTGCGGGCCTTGTGGCGGCTGGCCAGGCGGCTCCCGTAGAAGGCCAGGATGGGCTCAGGGCCCGAGTCGGGCACCCGGAGCCCCGCCACGGCTGCCTTGAGCGGGGCCAGCACATTGGGGGGCTCACCCCACAGCCCATGGCCCGCCTCCTGCAGACTCAGGTCGTCTAGCTGGTCGATGGCCCTTTGCATGCCCGGTGCCTTCTCCTCATGGAAGAAGGGCCCACTGCCCACCACACTGCCCAGGCCCACGGCCTCCTCCTCCTCAGCCAGACGGTAGTAGGGGGGCCTGTCTTCCGAAGCTGCCACCACAGGCGTGGGGGGCTTGCCCTCCACCTGCAGTGACAGGCGGCAGCTGCGCAGCGACATCTGGTAGTAGCGGGTGGTCTCGTGGGCGCTGCGCAGCTGCTGCATGGACACGAAGGGGTGGCGCAGGGCGGCGCTGGGGCTGATGCGTTCATGCGACTCCCAGGTCAGCATGCGCTTAATCAGCTCCACCATGCTCTTGAGGTCGGCGTGCTCGGCCAGCGCCTCCCGGTCCTGGAAGGTGAGCCTACCAGCTGCCCCACCGCCGTTCACTGTCTCGATCTGGTCCAGCGACTTGAGCATGTATTTGCGGCGCTCCAGTGGGCGCACCTGGTGGGACACCGTGGGCAGGGGTTGACACCGAGCCTAGGCCTCGGACCTCAGGCACTCCTCCAGTCTGGCCCAGAGCTCTCCTGTTGCTATGAAGTCCACACACCTGACTCCTGACTTCCAGTTCTGCCTGTGATCTGACTTGGAGCCCTCTTGCTGCTGGGAGGGCCACACCTACTCCCTCTAGTGGAATCCAGAGCCCTCTTCCTGCTGGAAGTATATCTGACTATGTTCTTCAGTCTTCCTGTCATCTAACTCAAGTTTCACACCTCATCCCAGACCTCCAGTCCTCCCCAGAGCTGTAGGTTCAGCCCCTACCAGCGAGCAGCTAGCAGAGGGACTGCCCTAAGCCTCTAGTCCTTCTTGGAATCAAATCCAGATCCCTTTTGCTGCTACAGCTCCCACACCCGACCCCAGGCCTCCGGGCCTCCCAGGGGTTGACCCTCCTTGCCACACTAGTTTGACAACCCCCAGGCAAGAAGCTCTCAAAGGAGCTGCACATTCCTTCAGTCCTACCTCTGGTCTCACCCAGGCCCCTCTTGTTGTGACAGATCCCCCAGCTGGCCCAAACTTCCCGTCCTCTGCTGTCTCACCCAGACCTGGCGCGCAGGTGGGGTGACAGCAGCCACAGAGGCAGCAGACAGGCTGCCTTAGACGTCCAGCCCCACCTGGGCCTCATTCAGAGCCCTCGCACTGCACCAGTGTGCCTGACCCCAGATCTGAAGCTGGCAGAGGGGCTACCCTACGCTTTCTGTCACACTTGTGGTATAACCCAGGTCTCTTGCTACAGCGGCCCCCACAGTGACCCTCAAACTTCCAGTCCCACCTTTGGTCTCATCTTGTGACAATCCCCACAGCTGACCCCAAAGCTTCCAGACCTCCTTAAGGTTTAACCTAGATTTTCCTCTTTATGTGGCAGCCCCCACACTGACTGCCTTCACCGCACCTGCCCCCCTACCTTGGTCTCAGCCAGATAGTCAGCCGAGGACTTGAGCTGCCAGGGGTTGGTGGCGTCAGGGTGGGGGTTTCGCTTGAAGAAGTGGTGGGCCTTGCGGGAGGCATGCAGCAGGTGGGGCTTGGGCAGGCCCTGGGTCTCACAGATGTAGCGCACCTGGTCATACTCGTTGTTGCCCGGATAGAGTGGCCAGCCCAGGTGCAGCTCGGCCATGACGCAGCCCAGTGACCATACATCCACTTTCTCACAGAAGGGCAGCCCCAGCAGAATCTCGGGGGCCCTATAGAAGCGCGACTGGATGTATGGCTCCTTCACGTAGCGCACCTCGCTGAAAATGCTGGCCGAGCCAAAGTCGATCACCTGTGTGGAAAGGGAGGCCAGTAGGCAAGGTGAGGGGCAGGGACAGCAGCTCTGCGCCTCACCTGGCATCTCTCTCCCTGGTGTCGGTCTGCATCTGCCATCTGACCGTCTGTGGCTGTGTCTGTGAATCGTATCTCTTGTTTTCGTGGGGTTTTTTTTTATTTTTTATTTTTTTATCCTCACCCGAGGACATTTTTCCATTTTTTGTTCAGATAGAGTGTGAGGGAGAGAGAGAGAAACATCGACGTGAAAGGGACACATCGAGTGGCTGCCACCGGCACAACCCATCCAGGGCCGGGGACAAACTGCAACCGAGTTACGTGCCCTTAGTGGGAACCGAACCCGGGTCTCTCTGGACCGCAGGCTGACGCTCTAACCCGCTGAGCCAAACCGGCCAGGGCCATAGCTCTTGTTTATGTCTCTATCTGTCTCTCCAGCCTCTGTCTCTGCTTTGTGTGTCTGTATCTCTGTTTCTATTTCTCTCCACTAGAATGTATGTCTGTGAGCGTTAAAATCCCTCTTTCTCTCTCATCCCACCCCTTGTCCATCAGCAAATCCCGTTGGTTCCGCCTTCCGAACAGATCAAGAATCTACCCACCGTGCATTCAAGCCACAGCCCCACCCTGCTCTTGTCCTCCATCATTTCCTGCCCTGACTGCTCTCCCTGCTCCCACCCTCAGCCCCCCAGTCTGTTCCTCACACGTGCCCTGAGAGATCCTGTGAACACCTGAGCCGGTCAGGTCCCTCCCTTATTCAGTATCCTCTTGTGGCTTTGCCACATCCTGTGAGAGAAGCCAAAGATCTCACCGCAGGCCTGCAGGCTCCTACAGTCTGCCCCGTCCCGTCTCTGCCCTCAGCACCTCGCACTTTCACCCTCACCAATCCTGCTCCAGCCACAGGAGCCTCTCACTCTTCCTTAAACAAGCCAGATACAGTCCCAGCTCAGGGCCTTCGCACCGGCTGTTCCTTCTGCCCGGAATGCTCTTCCCTTAGATGTCCACACCACTCCCCCCTCACTTCCTCAGGTCTTCACCCCTGTCACCTTCTCAGTGAGGCCTCCCCAACCATCCTGTCACAAAATGGTACCCCTACCCACTCCTTCCTGGCCTTCTGCTTTTCTCCGTAGCTCTTAACACCATTTCACAAACTGTATATTTTACATTTTTATGGAGTTCATTGTTTCTCTAACCAACTAGGATTTTTTTTTTTTTTTCAATATGTTTTTAGCCCGGCTGGTGTGGCTCAGTGGTTGTGTCGACCCCTGCACCAAGAGGTCACCGGTTCGATTCCCCGTCAGGGCACATGCCCAGGTTGTGGGCCCAACCCCCAGTGGGGGACATGCAGGAAGTGGCCAATCGATGTTCTCTCTCATTGATATTTCTCTCTCTCTCTCTCCCTCTCCCTTCCTCTCCCTAAAAATCAATAAAGAAAAAAAATTTTTTTTTAAATATGTTTTTATTGATTTTGTAGAGAGAGAGGAAGGAGGAGATAGAAACATCGATGTGAGAGAGAAACATCAATCAGCTGCCTCCTGCATGCCCCCCCCCCTCCACTGGCAATTGAGCCCACAACCCAGGCATGTACCCTGACCAGGAAATGAATCGGTACCTCTCACTCCATGGGATGATGCTCAATCCACTGGGCCACACTGGCCGGGCCCAACTAGGATTTGAGTCCCATGAGAGCAGGATTTTATCTGTTCACTGATGAGTTCCTAGAAGCCTAGAACAATGCTTGGAACAGAGCAGGGGCTCAGAATGAACAAATACACAAATGAATGGGTGAATGTTTTACTCATCATTGTCTTTGCCTCTTGTTTGTATCTCTCTCTTGTTTTTTCTTTGCTGCTTCATGGCTTGTCTGTGTCTCTCATCTCTCTCTCCATCTCTGTCTCTGAGTCACTCACTAGAAAGACACCTTCTGGAAGCCCAGGTCCTCCTCATCGTCAAGCATTGTTAACACCCACACAGGCTCTTAGTATGTGACAGGCACTTGACAGACACCTGCTGAAGTAACACTGAATGGCTGAAAGCCCTTGTCTCTTCGATACCCTGGGAAGGAGCTATCTGCCATTACCACTCTGAATCTCCGTGATTCTATCTTGGTCCCTACCTCAGTTTCCCCTCTGTTTCTCTGCTTTTCATTCAGCCATCACTCACCTTCTTTTTGCATAAGAACAAAATGGTCATTAATCTGAATGCAGACTGCAGAGGCCTGAATCTCAGAGAGCTTGAGTGACCCCGGGCACGCAGTCAATGCCAGTGGGATTCGTCCGTCCTGCCGTTCATCCATTCCACAAACATGGCCTAGGGGCCGACACTGGCCTGGCGTTGCGGATCTGTCCTGTCTGGCTCCTGCTGTGTTCGTGGGAGTTGTCCCTCCTTGTCTCTGTACTTTTCTCTCTCAGAGCAGAATGCTCTGCCTCTTCCTGTCTCTGTGTGGCTCTGACATTCATTTAGCACTGACTCAACTGTGCTGTGCTGGGAGGTGCCAAGGACCCAATGGTGACCCAAACTGCCTTGGCCCTGCCCGCACGGTGTGCCTAGTTCCTATCATCACCAGACAGTAAAAAACCCAGATGAAGACAGAGGGTCAGGGGTGGGATGGGGGAGCCCAGGAGCTGTGACAGTGTGGAGGAGACACCTCTGTGCACCCGGTGCAGGGTCGGGCCCAGAGCAGACACTCGGTAAATGCCTGTTGACAAACAAACTCACTGTGATGAGGTATGGGCTGCCGTTCTTCCAGTTGCTCAGGCCAACCGGCTTCCGTGCCCCCTTAGGTCCTCTCTTACACTTCGTATTAGATCTGTTGTCTTCTATGTGTCAGCAAAATCCGCTCAGCTCCAAAATCTACTCAGACCCACCCTGTCCCCTCCTCCTCGACCCTGGCTCAGTCCTGCCCAGCCACGTCTCCCAGCTGGACTGTGCAGTCACCCCTCCCTGCCTTCCTGCTCCTGCCCCGTCACAGCTGGTGCCCCCGCGGCCAGAGCATCCGGGGCTGGGGAAGGATGGGGGGAGACGGGGCAGCCCCTCACCTTGACCCTGAAGGGGTAGCGGGTCTGGTCGACCAGCATGATGTTCTCGGGCTTGAGGTCGGCGTGGATGATGGCCAGCTCCTTGAGCCGGGCCAGGGCTCTGAGCACCTGCAGGGTGACCGTGCGGATGTGGCGGACAGGGAGGGGCGCGAAGTTGTTCTCCTTCTGGTATTCAAAAAGGTTTTGTTCCAGCAGCTCGAAAACCAGGTAGAACTTGAGGGCGTCATGGAAGAACTCAAGGAAGCGGATGACGTGGGCCTCCTCAGGGTCCAGACCCCTCATGCAGCGCAGCAGCTTCAGCTCGTTCTTGATGATTCGGTTGCGGTAGGCGTCGTTCTTGAGGATCTTGATGGCCACCATCTCGCCTGTGCTTCGCCGCCAGCCCTTGGCCACCTCCCCGAAGGTGCCCTTGCCTAGCACCTCGATGATGTCATAACAGTCAGTCTCCGACTGGATGGTGGTCATGGTGCCCCTGCCGCCAGACACCGCCCTGCCACCACCTCTGCCCCACAGGCTACGCCTTCGAGGCCTCCCGGCCCCTCTCCGCCGCCGGCCCCAAGGTACCCCCAGTGGGGGAAAGACAACGGCACTCGTGCCTACCCCTTCGAGATTTGCCCTCACCTCCTGGGCGCCTCGTAACCCCCTGGGCCACACCAGGAATATGCCAAGGGTTGCACCCCTCCCCCAAAGCCCTCCTGGCTTGGGACGAGGGGCCCCAGGCCCCCTAAAATGGGTTCCAGCGTTGCTGAGTGGCTCTGGTTCTGTTGTTGGAGACCTCAGCCCCTGGCTGGAATGGGGGGTGGGGTGGCAGGTCAAGCCCCTCCCCCGCCCAGCGGAACCCTGAAGAGGTTGGACAGGTAAAGGGTTCAGTGAGAGCGGAGTCTGAAGGTGGACCTCAGGCGGAAGTATGGAACATTCCCAAACAGAGGTGAGAAAAGGCAGGCTTTCTGAACTAGGGGGAGGTGTGTGTCTGGGTGTTTTCAGAAAGTACCTGCCCTGGCCTGTGGCTGACATGGTGGAAGGTGTTGCCAAGGCTGACCCAGGTTGTAAAGGTCTTAACTGCCAAGCTAAGGAGTTTGGACATTGTTCTGAGGGCACCACGGAAGGGCTTTTGAGGGGTCAGATTTGAGTGTGAAGAAGGGTGGATTAGAGGGGGTGAGAATAGAAGCCCCAAGCCTGGGGCAGGGCCCAGGTCAGGAAGGATGGGGAGACAGGGAGGAGGCTTATGGGTGAGACATTTCAGGAGGCCAGGAGGCCAGGCCAAGGGGCTGGCGAGTTGCAGGGGGAGGGAGGAAGTTGTCTAGGACAAGGTGGGATGGTTCTTGAAATGGGGACATGGACAGGAGCACTTTGGAGGGGAGGATGCTAAAGTCAGGTTAGGGAATTTAATATCTAATGCTTTAGAAACCTTATCAGATCCTTACAACATACATTTTTTTTTTTTATCCTTACCTGAGGACATTTTTCCATTTTTTATTCAGATAGAGTGGAAGGGAGAGAGAGGAAGAGGAAGAGAGAGAAACATCCACGTAAAAGGGACACATCGAGTGGCTGCCACCCGCAGGACCAACCAGGGCCGGGGACAAACCGCAACCTAGGCAAGCGCCCCTAGCAGGAACCAAATCCGGGTCCCTCCGGACCGTAGGCCGATGCTCCAACTGCTGAGCCAAACAGGCCAGGGCACAACATGCATTTGAAAAGCTCCATTTAACTGAAGACAAGAGTTGGGTGGCCAAGACTGGCTTTGACCCTGAGAAGTACAGCTCGAGCCAAGCTTGGAACCACCACCTCACACGTCTCCCTAGTGCCCAGCAGCTGTCCAGGGGAGGCAGGCCGAGGCCACTGCATCCCCTCGTGAACCCAGGAAAGAATTTGGGAATTGTCACCCAGAGGTGAGGAGTGGAAGCCTCCGGGAGGGCGACAGGCCCAGGGCAGGTGTGGGAGTGGATGAGGGCCTGGGAGGAGCCCAAGGGGCAGGAGGAGAGAGGAGTGGAGGAGAGAGAGTGTTCAGGAAGGAGGAAGTGCCCTGAGAAGCCCTTAGCATGACCACAGAAAAGTCACTTTGGACGCTGGACAGGGCAGCGGTGGTAGGAAGAAGACCCCAAATGCTAGGGAGCTGGTCAAGGAATGTATGCCATTAGGGCAGATAATCCCTGCATGTTTGGTGGAGACAGAGAAAGCATGAAACAGGGCAGTGACCCGAGGGGGGCTGGTTTAAAGGGAGAAGGTGCTGGAGTAAGTGGCGTGGGGACAGGTCTGTGACAACCCAAGGGCATGGCCCTTCATCATCTGGGATTCGAGGAGAGTGGAGGGGTGGACATGGGGGTAGGGGCAGGGGGACATTTGGAACTGGACAGCATGTCTTAGTCGTGTGTGGTATGGCAAAGAGATGGGGGATGGAGGTCTGGAGGCCCTGGTGTGTGTGGGGCGCTTAGAGGCTTAAATCCAGAGAGTTTGGGTCCCTGGGAGCTGAGGCTGAGCACCCAGGACCTAGTCCTACGAGGCAGCCACATGTCTGGAGTGGAAGTTCTGAATCCATGAGCCTAGAGAGAGCCAGGAGGGGCCCTCCTGGGTGGGGCCAGGTGGACTGGGCAGTCAAACCAGCCGGACAGAAAAGGATCAGCCAGGATCAGAGGCGCTCGCTCTTGTTGAAGTGGCCAGCAGAGGGCAGGTGGGTAGCAATCAGCGTGCTCTCTTAGGCCCCTGGGGCTGTCCTGGCCAGTGCGGGGGTGGGGGGCGGTTCCCCAGGGCAGGCGAGCCCCCAGCAGAGGGGTCCTGCAGCTGTGTTCTGCTGGGGAACTTCCCAGAGTCCTGCTCAGAGGCTCCTGGGGTTTCTGAAGGGCTAGGGCAAGTCTCCCTTCCACCAGGCCCATACCAAGGCCTCCCTGACTCCTCAAACCAGAGGTGGCCTGTGTCTCCCCACACAGGCTCCCTTTCGGCCAGGCTCAAGTCCCTCTCCTTCCTTCTCCAGGATTTTTTTTCTTTGCACCCTCCCTTATCACCCCCAGACACAGAGGAGACCAACACAAGCTACCTCCGGGTTATTTATTCACATGGCTTGGCAAATTACAGACACTCTTGCCAATGAGCCGGCATGAGGCCTCCCGGCCCTGCCCGCAGTCACCTACCTCCCGGCCCTCTGAGGGTTAGTGTAGGTTATCTCACACACAAAACAAGGGGTGGGGGATGGGAAGGCCAGAGGGGACTCTCCCTCTGCCCAGGGCTTCAGATGACAGCGGTCTGAGTCCCCTCCATCCTGGTGGGGCCTGGAGCCCCTGACTCCGAAAACCCCACGCTGGGCAGTCGAACCCGGAATCCACCCTCTTCTGGGTCCCTGCTCCCACTCCGGGCCTTGGGGCTCAGGGACACCCTGGGGAAGCGGAACTTGGGGGACTTCTCCCGACCAGGGGACTTGGAGGCTGCCTCGCCCTCCTGTCCCCCAGAGGCCTTGGAAGAAGTAGCCAGGCCCACTCGGGGCAAGCGAACTCGGAGGCGGCCTCGGCGACCAGAAGCCCCTTCTCCACTGCTCTCCTCCTCCTCCTCCTCCTCCTCGGGGCTGGGGGAGCCTTCCCTGGAGACAGCCTCGCTCTGGCTGAAGCCCACACGGGGCAGCCTGAGTTTCGGGCTCTTGGCCTTCTCGCCCTCCTCCACCCCCTCCTTGGCCCGCACCAGGCCAAACCTGGGCAGACGAACCTTGAGCTTGTGTCCAGTGTCTCCCTCACCCTCTACCACCTGGTACTCAGCATGGCTGCCCATGGCAGGTGGCGACAGCTCCAGGTCAGGCAGTGAGAGGTGGAAGGTTCGTTCGACCCCTGGGAGCTGGTCTCCAGGGCCCCCGACCCCAGCCCCAGCTCTGGCCACCAGGGTAGGCATCTTCAGCCGTAGCCCACCCTCGTCTGCGGCTGCCTCACCCACCCGGGCATCTCGGCTCAGCCCCACGTCCAGCTCAAGCTGGGGCACTGTTACAGTGGGCATCTTGAAAACGCCCTCTCCCACCAATAGCTCACCACCCTCCCGCTGGGCTCCCGGCAGAGACAAGGTCACCTGAGGCACCTGGACCCTGTAACCTGCTGTGCCCTCTGCTGAAGGAGCTGCGCTCTCAACCTGGACCCCTGAGGTGACACCCAGGCCAGCTTCACCAAAGCTGGTCAGCTCCACCTGTGGCAGAGAGATGCCCAGGGGCACCCTCAGCGCCCCCTCCTGGCCTTCAGGGCCTGCCTGCCTGGTTGTGGACACTTGCAGGCCTGACAGCGGTGCCCCACTGACAGCCACCACCCCGGGCGCCCCCACTTCCTCCTGGGCCCCCAGTGTGACAAGCTCCACCTCAGGGATCTTAATCTGCCCAGCCAGGAACTCTGCCTTTTCCCCCGGGCTGACACGCCCGCCCTGGACTTCTACCTCCTTCCCCCGAGCCAGGCCAAAGGAGGGCATCTTCAGTTTGGGTATCTTCACCTTCCCATCCCAACCCCAGCTCTTGCCCTCCAACTCGGCCACCCCTGGCACTAGTTCTCCTGCCTCGGTGTCCCGGGCTCTGACCCCAAACTTGGGCAGGGTGAACCTGGGACCCTTGAGCTTGAAATCGGCCCCCGCTACCTCCACCTTGCCTGTGGGCAGATGGGCATCCAGGCTGAGCTGAGGAATTGACAGATCGAGGGCGGGCAGCAGGCCTGCCTCCCCGACCCCTTTAGCCTCAGCCTCAGTCCCCACCCGAGCCTTGGGGAGTGAGATGGCGAACTTGGACACCTTCAGCTTGGTGGCTCGCCCAGCCCCCTCAGCCTCTGCCTTGGCCACCTTTGTCCCCGAGAGTCCAAACTTGGGCAGGGAGAACTTGGAAGTGGGTTTGACTTTCGTCTCCATCACCTCCACCCGCCCTTCCTCAACTTCTACCGTGGGCAGCTGTGGAGTGACGATCTCAACAGAGGGCATCCGGAAGGTCACTTCCCCGACCCCTGCTGCCACCTTGCCCTCTGCCCATTCCACCCTCCCCTCTGCCTGTGCTACTTTGCCTTCTGCCTGCTCCACCTTGCCCACTTTGGCCGCTGGGACCTGCCCCTCCAGGCTGAGTGCCCTGGGCAGGTCTAGCTCCACTGAGGGCAGAGAGAGAGAGGGGACACCTACACGAGCCTCAGTGTCCACCTCTGGCTGCAGACAGGGAAGTGTCACCAGCTTCCCTGAGACCTCAGCCCCTGCCTCGCCTGGCTTGCCTCGTGGCGGGGACCGTGCCCTCCCTAGCTTGGGCATGGTCATCTTGGGCATCTTGAAGCCAAATTCCACCCCCTCTACCTTCTCTGCCCTGGCAGCTTTTAGCTGCACCTCAGGAGCCTTGGGCAGCTGTACCTCTGGAAGCTGCACCTCGGGCACGGCCACCTCGGGCACCCTCGGGAGCTTCATCTCTGAGACCTTCGGCAGCTGCACCTCTGGGAGTCGCACCTCAGGCACAGCCATCTCAGGCACCTTTGGGAGCTTCATGTCTGAGACCTTCGGCAGCTGCACCTCTGGGAGTCGCAGCTCGGGCACGGCCATCTCGGGCACCCTGGGGAGCTTCATGTCTGAGACCTTCGGCAGCTGCACCTCTGGGAGTCGCACCTCGGGCACGGCCATCTCGGGGACCCTTGGGAGCTTTATCTCTGAGACCTTCGGCAGCTGCACCTCTGGGAGTCGCAGCTCGGGAACGGCCATCTCGGGGACCCTCGGGAGCTTCATGTCTGAGACCTTCGGCAGCTGCACCTCTGGGAGTCGCACCTCGGGCACGGCCATCTCGGGGACCCTCGGGAGCTTCACCTCTGAGACTTTCGGCAGCTGCACCTCTGGGAGTCGCACCTCGGGCACGGCCATCTCGGGGACCCTCGGGAGCTTCACCTCTGAGACTTTCGGCAGCTGCACCTCTGGGAGTCGCACCTCGGGCACGGCCATCTCGGGGACCCTCGGGAGCTTCACCTCTGAGACTTTCGGCAGCTGCACCTCTGGGAGTCGCACCTCGGGCACGGCCATCTCGGGCACCTTCATCTCAGAGACCTTTGGCAGCTGGAGCTCTGGAAGCCGCACCTCGGGCACGGCCATCTCGGGCACCTTTGGGACTTTCATCTCTGACACTTTTGGAAGCACAACCTCTGGGAGTTGCATTTCTGGAAGGGTTGCCTCGGGCACTTTAGGGAGCTTGACCTCAGGGGCCTTGGGGATCTTCACTGCAGGCCCCTTGGGTACCTTGACCTCAGGCGCCGAGACCCCAATGCCAAAGGAAGGCATCTTGATGGTAGGCAGCTTCAGCTTGCTCTCAACAGCATCAGGGGCGGTGGGCCGGGGCTCCAGGAGAGAGAGCCCAAAGGTGGGCATCCGAAGTCGGGGCCCCTTCACCCTGACCTCAGGGCTGCCCTTGGTCACCTTGACCTCAGTTACTTCTTTTGCTCGAGCCCCAAAGCGAGGGAAACTGAGGCGGGGCATCTTTAGGGCCACCTCGGGCACCTCTTCTCGGGCTTCCACCTCTGTGCCCGGCAAGGCCAGGTCCACCCCCACAGTAGGTGCTGCCACATCCAGGGTGGGCACCACCAGCGCTGCCATCGCTCCTTCACGGGTCTCCAGACAAGGTAGTGTGGGCAGAGTGGGTAGAGAGGGCAAGGTGGGCAGCTCCACTTGGGGAACCTGAATCCCTACGGCCGCAGGCTCCACAGCAGGTGCAGCAGGGGCTCCAAGCCCAAAGGTTGGCAGGTGGAGGGCAAAGCCCGCGGCTGCTTCTCCTGCAGGGGCCTCCTCCCCCTTGCGGACTATGACCTGGGGGACACCCACTTCTGTGCTTGGCAGCCCAGGCCCAACCAGCTCCACCTGGGGTGCTGTGAAACGGGCCCCTGCTGCCACCTCAGCCTCTGCTTTGGCTTTTCTGGGGGGAGGAGCAGCGGCGGCCAGCCGAGCTACCTGGGCCTCTTCGGCCACTTCTCGGACGCGCAGCCGAGGCAGCTGGAGGCGCCTGCGGGTGGGAGCAGCTGGGACAGGACCCTTGACAGCCTCGGCTTTGAGGCCCCGACGCAGACGGGAGAACTTGGGAAAGGAGAATTCGACGTCAACGGGGGCCAAGTCTGCAGGGGCCCCCAGGGCCCCAGGCACCACCATCTTCTTCTTCTTCACAGGGGACAAACTCTGGATGTTCTGGGGAGAGAGGAGAGAGGCGGAAGGCAGTGGGACAGGGAGGCCTGGGGTGGACGGGGGGAGCCCCACCTGGTATTGTACCAGTATGGGGATGTGACAGATTGAACATTTTGTCCCCAAAGCATCATCCCCACTTCCTGCCTGTCATTTCACCATACTGCCCCTGAAGGCAAAGACAGTCATTTAGAATCTTACAGTGAGTCAACAGGAATGTAGAAACTGGGACCCAAGACTTCTAGGTCCTCATCCAGGATTTTTCTCAATACCCCCATTCTAGAGATGGGAAAACTGAGGCCTATGAAAGAAAAGAAACTTGTCCAGGGGTCGCTCAGCAACCAGGAGCAATGAGTGAGGAGCAATCAGGCTGAAACCTGGCATCCTGGTTCAGGACCCCTAAGAAGCCTGGAGCTGAAGGTGAGGATACCTCTCCAAAAAGGGTGAGGGCCCTGGTCTGGGATGGGTGGGTCCCCCCCGCAAGAGTTTAGGGTCACAGAACAGGAGGCAAAGTGTGGGATTAGCGTTGGGTTAGTGACAAGACAGAGGGCAAGGCTGGCCCTCGGTATAAGGGAGTAAGGTTCATGGCGCAGAGACAGGTTCACTGGGGCAGTCCAGCGCCGGAACCGGACTAAGGACGCGTACCAGCTTGGCCACCTTGGCCCGAGGGCCCTTGATCTCGTAGCCAGACACGGTCCCAGGCCGCAGCGCCAGGTCCCCGGTGGGTACAGTGCGCTTCAGGCAGAAGGAGACCTTGTAAGGCTCGGCGCATTGCAGCAGGCGTAGTGCATCCTCGTACTTGAAGTTCTCAAAGAACACGCGGGCGCTCAGCAGCTGGTCCCCTGCAGGGGAAGTGAGCAAGGCGTGGGCATCTCCCGGCTCCGCCCAAGCCTGGTTCCTCCCACCTCCCCAGAACCAGTAGTGAGGCCCCGCCCAACATTTGGCCCCGCCCATCCCGGGCGCAGGATTGAGACGCCAAATTCCTCCCTGTTTGAAGTCTTAGGAAGGAAGCCCCACCCCATGGCCTTAGCCCCGCCTCCTCTGGCTGAGCTCATCCACGCCCATTCAGGCCACGCCTGCCGCCTTTCCCCTCCCCCACCCTCACATTTCAAACTTTTCTTTAAAAAAAAAACAGTTAAACTTTATATTTACAATATTCTCTTCATCTTTTGCCAGGTTTAAAGGTGTGTACAGCCCTGGCCGGTTTGGCTCAGCGGTTAGAGCGTCAGCCCGCCAGACCAAAGAGTCTCGGGTTCGATTCTGGCCAAGGGGTGGTATCTCAGTTGCCTTAGTCCAGGCCCTGGTGGGGCCCTGCAGGAGGCAACCAGTCAGATGTGTCCCTCTCACGCCAGTATTTCTCTCTCTCTCTTCCTCTCTCACCCTCCCTCCCACTTTACCTGAAGATAAATAGAAAAATATCTTCCGTGAGGATTTTTTTTTTAATATTATTAAAAATAAAGATGTGTACACAGCTGTGAAGAGTGGGGACATGGGATAGTCAGGGAACTGTTCTGGGGGCCAGCTGGGCATTGGAGTCCATGGCTGAATCATGGGGTCCCTCAGCCCTTCTCCTATACCCCAATTTTGGGAACATCTGTCTACAGGGTTCAGGGCCCAGGGCCCTAGCATTTAGAGGGCATGGCTGTCTGGAGAGGGACTAGATCAGGCAAGAGAAGGGGAGGGAAAAGAATGAAGTTTCCATGGATAGAGGTGGGAGAAGATGGTCAAGAGAAAAAGTTCTGGGGAGCCAAGACCAGGAATTCTGGATCTGGATGTCAGTGGAAGGCAGCACCCCACCCCCTACTCAAGTTTGGCACTAACAACCCACAAAACGTCAAGAGAAAAGTATTCTCTTCCTTCTCTACTGGTGTCCCTTAAAACCCTTCCTGACATGGTTCTTTTCCCTACAGGCTCAGGTCCTGTCTAGTCAGTCACCTTACACATGTCCTTTCAAATTCTTCCTGCTAGTGTCTGCCCAAGTCCTGTCCCCACTGTCCTCTCCATCTCCTCCTCAGCACAGCTGACGTCATTCTCTCCTCAACCTGTAGCATGAAGCCTTCCTTCCCTGCTCTCCTCCTCTCCACCTGCCACCAGCCTCTCCCTCAGTACTGGCAGCTGAGGAAAGAAGGGGCAGGTCAAAGGAAATGGGCAGCTGAGGGGAGAAGCTGTTCAGACCCTGGCTTTGTTTCCTTTACTGAAAGAACAGAATCAGAAGAGAACTTCCAGAAGCTGTCACCCCATTCCCCTGCTCCTGTGGTCATTGACTCCAACTCTCCACCTGTTCCTAGGGATGAACTGTCCCCCTCCTGCCTCAGGTCAATTCCTCCAGCAATTCTCCCCTCTCCCCCCACATCACTGATTTGTCCCTATCTTCTCCATTATTCCCATCAGCACATAACATACCAATGTTTCTTACACATGAAAGGTCATCTGGACAACATTCCACCTGGAGCTCCTGTCCCATTTATCTGTTCACCTTAATGGCAAAATGCACTGAGTTGCTAGCTGCATTATTTCTACTTCTCCAATCACATTTCTGACACCCCACCCCAGAACCCTGAACTGCTCCTCTCAAGATCCCATGCAGGGATCTCTGTGCAGCTAAGTCCAATGGTCAAATCCCAGCCTCCCAGGATGGTTCTTCTCCATCCTCCTGACCTTTTTTTTTTTTTTTTTAAATTTAATCCTCACCCGAGGACATTTTGGCATTTATCTTCAGATAGAGCAGGAGGGAGAGAGGGGGAGAGAGAGAGAGAGAAACATTGATGTCAGAGAGACACATCAAGTGATTGCCACCCACATGACCCCAATCGGGGTGGGGACAAACTGCAACTGAGGTACGTGTCCTTAGGGGGAACCGAACCTGGGACTCTCTGGTCAGCAGGCCGACTCTCTAACCATTGAACCAAACTGGCCAGGGCCTCCTGACCTCTTAAAGACACACTGACTCAGAGCTCAGGCCTTAGACCCCCTGTCTTCTCCATCCACATGGTCTACTCACCACTTTGGGAAGGTCATCCAGATTTAGGAGTTTAGAGGTCATAAATATGCTGACCACTCCCAGGTATCACTCCAGCCCAGCACTCTCCCCTCCATCCTAGACACATATATCCAACTGCCTTTCCACATCTCCACCTTGATGTCCAAAAGACATGCCTCATTTAACAAATCCAAACTGTTCTGGTCTTCCTCCAAACAAGCTCCAGCCCCAGTATTTCCCATTTCTGAGACTACCGTCTTCCTTGACCCCTCTCTTAACCTCACATCCCTATTCAGTCTTAAAATCTCCTCCTTCAAAATAAATCCAGAATCCAAACTCTTCTCTTCACTTCCAATAACATTACTGTGGCCCCAAGCATCACCATCTCTTACCCAGATAATTACAGTAGGCTCTTTGTTGCTCCCCCTACTCCTCATCCTGCCCCCCAATAGTCTACTGCTAATACACCAGTTCGACATGGTCAATTCTGCTCCACTCACTACCCTCCCAGATTAAAAGCCAAAGTCCTCACCATGGCCTATAAACTCCTCCAAAAATGTCCTTTCGTCTTCCCTCTCTGGCCTCATCTCTTACTCTCCTCTTCACTGACTATTCCCCCCACACTGCCTTCCTTGTCCCTCCGACAAGTCAGGTACACTCCCACCTTGGGACACCAGCACTGGAATGCTCTTCCAGATGGCCACATATCTCCTTCTCTTACCTCTTTCAGGTCTTTCCTCCCTTCCTGGCTCACCCTACTTAAAAATTCAGCTTCCTGAAATTCTCTCTCTCTCTCTCACACACACAAACACATTTCTGCATCCCCCCCCTCAAAAATAAAAAAAATAAAAATTCAGCTTCCTCCCTGGCATCCTTAGCACATTTTACCTTCTTACTATATACTTTACTTTTTTTTTTTTTGCTTAAATATGTCTCTCCCCACTAGAATGTAAGCTCCATAAGTGCAGAGTGTTATCTGTTTTGTTCACTGCAGTAGCCCAAGCACCTAGAATAATATCTGGAAATAGAAGGCCCTTAGTAATAGTTGTTTCATGAATAAATCACATCAGTCTCATCCATGTTACCTAAGACACCTCTTACTAAGCTACCCTCCCCCTCCAAGTAGTTAACTCCACCACTTTTCTCCAGCCCCAAAACAAAAACAACTAGCACTCACTTACGTAGTGCTTACTATGTGCCACTTAGCAATGTGCTAAGTGTTTCCAAATGCTGGCTCATTTAATCCACATAATAACCGTATGAGGTAAGAACTAGAATTATTTCCAATTTAGAGATGAGAGATGAGAAAACCGAGGTACAAAAAGATCAAGTAGTAAACTGCAACACTGAGACAATGAATCTCCAAAGCCCGCTATGAGTACCTGCAAAGCCAAAACACACAGCTCCGCCCCAAGCCCTTAACCCCGCCTCTTGGTCGTCCGCCACGCTCGAGACCCGGGGCAGATTTCTAATCCCGCCCCCGTTGAAGGGCCCCGCCCCATTCCCAGGCCCCGCCCCATTCCCGGGCCCCGCCCACCTTCCTGCAAGCTGAGGCTCCTAGCAGCCGGCGAGTCCTCGCGCAGCTCGCGAATGTAGATTCCTTCCTTGCCGCCGCCCGCTACGTTGATGCCGCTGACCCCAGTGTGCGCCTCCGTCTCCACGATGATCTCCACCAACTCCGCCCGCCTCAGCTCCTGCGGAGAGCGACGAGGGGTCGCCATGGGATGCCAGACCTCTCCCAGGGCCTGCCATCGCGCTTAAAAGCATATCTTAAACCGGTCCTTAGGCTACATGCTCCTCTGAGAGGCTCAGGCAGGTCGTGCGGGCCCACCCACTCCGGCATCGCCCCTTTAAGGAAGCCCGAGGGCCGCTCGTTTGGTGGGCTCGCGGAAGGTTCAACGGCTCAGCAGGGCTCAGCCGAAGCCCCTGGGGGCGGGGCGGGGCGGGGCGAGGGGCGGTGTGGGTAGGCTGGAGGAAACCTGAGCTGTGACTGAGAGGCGGGCCTGATAGAGAGGGAGGGGCTGTGCTCCCAATGGGGCGTGGCCATCTCTGGAGGGCGGGGCTAGGGGTGTGGAGCTCAGAGAGCAGAAGCGGATAGAGCGCACCGGCCCGAGTGGAGCGGCCAATGATATGAGGGGTGTGGCGCTCGAGTGGGGACCCAGAGTCTCAGGAGCTATGGGGAGGGGCTTTAATAACAGCAGAACAGGGGTGGGGGTGAGGATGGGATTCCAAATAAAGGGCTGGACCCTTAAGTGGTGCGGAATGGAGGGGCGGGGGTGGGACTGACCTCCTTGGAAACTTTTACGTGCGAGTGAAACTGTGCCCCATTGTGGACTCTTGACCCCAAGGCCTGCAGAACGCCCATGGGAGAGGGAATCCAGTGAAGGGGGGGGTGCGTGGGTAATGAGTGGTGGACTGGCAGACGTGGTATTCCTGGTATTTACTGTCAATGGTGCTGACCTGGCCCTGGCACAGCTGCACACTGTGAGATTCACATCTGGGCTACCCAGAGTATAAGTACCAGTGAGAGACCTCAGTTCCACAACTGTCTAGGAACACAATCTGCTGTGTGTCTGTGGGAGAGAACTTTGCCCTCTCTGGGCCTGTTGTTCCTACTGTAAAATTGGGTAACATGGGTGTACTGGAAGGAGTCTCTGATTGTGAACTGAGACCTGAAGCAGTAGGCATCTGAAGGGATGCTGTATTGGGCAAGGCATCTCGGCTGGCACAGATGGGTTGAGCCCTGGGCTAGAGAGGAGAAAGCAGGTCTGGGCCAGATGCCCCATAGCAGTGGACCTGGGACTAGAGGGTTGGCCAGAGAATGGGGGTAAAGTAGAGTTGTGGTAGGGGCATCAAGGAGTAGCATAACCATCACTACCACCCTTAAGCCCTGGGCTAAGCATTTGATGTGCAGGATCTCATTTCATTCTCCCCACAGCTTGGTCTGTCACCGAGGGGGACACAAAGGTCCAGAGAAGTGAAGTGACTTGCCTAATGACACACACAGCAAGTTAAGCCACTGGGCCTCAACATCAGAGCCCAAAGACTGTTCTGTAGGCAGTGACCTCCTTGCCTGCCACCCCTCAGTCAGCTTGGCTCCTATAAAAGTAGACCCTCTCTGTGCCTGCCATCTGGTAGAATGTAGTCAATGCTAGTGCTTAATCTCCTTAACAGTGACAGCAGCTGACAGTCAAGGAGACTCCCTAGGCGCCAGGCCCTGTGCAGATGGCTTGTGTGAGTCCTCAACACCATCAGAGGTGGGGTCCATGCCCCATTTCACCAGTGGGGAAACTGAGGGTTAGAGAGATCATGTCTCCTGTTCAGGGCTGCACAGCTGAAGGGGTAGGATTGGAATTTAAGCTCGTGGGTCCAAAGCCCTCAATCCCTGCACCATCCTGTTGCTTCCAATGAAGGGTTTCTGCTCGATTTTCTTTAGCTCATTATTAATATAACTCCGTTCTGCTCCAATGAATTAGCTGCTTTGACTCTTAGTCTGTTCCAGGCACTGTGCTTAAGCACTTTACATAAGTTAAACTTTTCCCCTCACAGTGACCAATAAAATAGACCCTGTTGTTATTTCCATTTCATAGATGGAGAGACTGAGGCACAGAGAAGCCAGGAAGTGTTTCCTTGCTGCCCTAGTCTGTGCACCCAACCCAGGCCCCACAAACGGCCCTTGGAGGACGTGTGGGTACTCACCTCAGCACTCCGACTCCTGACCTCCATGGCGCTGCTGGGAGTCACCTGGGTCGTAGGCTCCTGCTTTCTGTCTCCCTTCTGCTGCAGGACCAGCTTCAGTTCTGCATGGAGCAGCTGCCTCTGAGCCTGTGGAGGACAGAGATGGAGGTTTGAGGCCAGGGGAGGAGGATGGGAAGAGGTAGGGCTTGGAGGGAGAGGTCAAGGTGGTGTCCGAAGGGGAGAAGGGTCCCCCAGCTGTCCTCTCACCGCTGCCTGGGCACAGGCACCCCGTCCTAACAGGAGCCCAGCCTGGCGTGCTTCACAGTCGTCTGCAGGGCTCACACCCTTCCTCGGGGGTCTTGCTGCCTGCCAAGGAGAGACAGGTCATGAGGCTCCAGGCAGGCTCCGGAGGGGCAGGAAGGTGCATGTGGTACCAGCCAGTGCTCACCTCAGGGTCACCTCCAGTTACTGGGGCCTCCTGGGTCCGGGGCTCTAGGAAGAATAATGTGAGCATTACTGTCAGCTAACCCCACTGATTGCTTCCTGAGTGCCTGGCCCTTTCCCCGCTCTGTCCATACTCTGTCCCCATAGCACAGGTGAGGAAACTGAGACTCAAAAGACCTTTATCCAAGGTGACACAGTTGGCCAACAAACAGTAAAGCCAGGACTGACTCCTAGGCCTGTCTGACAGCAGAGCCCTGAGCCAAACACCTCAGCAGACCAAGGGGTCAAATTCACTAGAAAATCATAATAACCATCCCATGTACTCCCCGTGGGCAAATCACCTCACCTCTCTGTGCCTCGATTTCCTCATCTATAAAATGGCAAGAGTGACAGCACTTCCCTCGGGGCTGGTGGGAGGGTCAAATGAGTTACTAAATAGAAAGTGTCAGGCACATGGAAGTCACTTCATAAGCATTTGCTGTTACTACGAAGAGCTTCCTGTGGTACTGATCTCGGATCAAATGTCCCACAGTGGTTATTGCGTGTGGACCTCAGAACACCCTGTGAGTTCAGTACAATTACTGAGTCCATTACAAAGAGGACACCTGAGTCTGGGAGAAGGGAAACCGTTCGCCTGGGTCGCAGACTTGAACTTGTCTGAAAGCTCCAGCCCCTCGTACTGATAGTAACTGACGGGTATTAAGGGCTCACTCTGCCAGTCCTGTGCTAAAACCTCTACTTTCCACCTCACTGCAGAAAACCCTAGCCCCTCAGAGAGGCCAAGAACCTTACTCGAGGTCACACAGCACAGGGAGAAGGAAGCAGAGCTGGATTCGCATGCAACCTCCCCATAGGCCCTTCTGGGGAAAAGGATATTGTGTCCCCCCTGCCTGCCCCCACTCTCTGGCCTTGTCTTCCCAGCCCCCACCTGGCATGTCAACACGCCAACCCCCACTCCCAAGGGAAAGGTCAGGCCTCACGCGGCACATTCCCTCAAACAATGGCCTGTCTGCTGTGCCCAGTCACATTCCACCCCTGCCCACCCACCCCCAGACTCACAATGGTCCTTCATTAGCCCACCACTGGCCAGGGGAAAGGACACAGAGATCCCCTCAAATGCTCCAGCTGTACCCACTCCATTGGCTGGTCCCTCACTGTGTCAGAGGGCTCCTCTCTGACTCTGCTAGGGGTCCTGGTCTCCATGTCCTCCCTCAGCCTCTCCTCTAGGCCCCCAGCCCCTCTAAGTAGGGTTGGCTTCCATCTGGGCATTTCCTCTGAACTGGGCCCCATGCTGGTACCCGTTGACCCTGGATGTGGGGGCTGTTTTAGGATTGGAAACTGAGGCTCAGAGAGGTGGAGTGACCTGTCTGAGGTCACACAGCAGGATGTGTGCACTTGACCCCAACTCTGCATCTTAACTGCATTGGTGGACGTGAGCACTGGAGGAGGTCCACGGAGCAAAACAGCTAGGGCAGGAGTGGGGCTGGGCAGAGACGGGGGGGGGGGCTTGTGAAGGTCCTTTAAGGGGCACTTTTAGAGGGACTTCCACGGTGCCAACCCTGGGCTGGGCAGGCACTTTATAGACATGGACTCATGGTACCCCATTTTACTGATGAGTAAATGAGGGTTGAGAGAATATCACAATGACAGAGTCAGGGCTTGAACCCAAGTCTAAGAAGCTAACTCAGAGTCCTTGATGCAACGTAGCATCCTGAGGTGGGGGCGCGAGAAGCCTGGTCCTTGTAAGAGGTAGTGGAGATGGAGGGAAGCATCTCCTGCTCCAGGCAAGGCATCAAGGGTCACACCCAGAGGCTGGCACAGGAAGGAAGCTCAGCAGGGGTGGGAGCAGGAGAGTGTCCTCCTGCCTCCTCCCTGCCCAGGACAGCCGCCAGCCCAGGTTATATTTAGCCCAACTGTGCCCTTCCTGAGCCACATACCCAGCCCCTGGGGTGGGGTGGGGTAAGGGCAACTTCGGAAGGAAGCCCACCCCACCCCGGGCACACTCTGTTCCCAGCTCTGCCCATCCTACCAGACAGGGGAAGAAGGGATAGGGAGGTTCCTAGGGGGATCCCTGACTTGTGTTAGAGGAAGGTCTAATGGGGCTCCCATGGTGAATCAAGACAAGGCAGGACCCTCAGATGCCAGCAGCCATTTCTTGAGTGGGTCCTCTGATGCTACCCTGGTACATTCCTCAGCTTCCAGAATTCTGACTTCTCATTTCTTGAGCACTTACTATGTGCAAAGATCCTTCCCTGGATCATTAAATTCTGGCAACACCTCCCTGGAAAAAGTACAACCTAGGTGATCATTTAAGATGCCACTCAACCTCTTACGAGCGGCTGGGATGAGAGGCCCTGGGCCCTTTAGCTGAGCTGGGCCTGCTGAGGAGTCCCCCAGCTTTGCCCTGTGCACTCTCTTAGCCCTATGGTTGGCACCAACCTCATTTAGGAATTCTCCCCACTTGGAGCCCCAGCTTCCCTAGTTCCCAGCAATCTGGTGCCCTCAGCAATAGGAGTGGGGATGTTGACCTGACCCATCCAGGCCCCTTACATGATCTGAGGCCATCTAGTAAGGCTGGGGGTGGGGGGCATCCTGCTAGTGGCCTGGGACCCCCTCCTTTAATCCCTGCTCCAGCTCTTCTCAGGCAGGAACACTGGGACATGGCATTTCACCTCTCAGGGCCTCAGTTTCCTCATCTGTCAAGTGCAGCCAATCAGTGGATTTGAAGATTGGTGAAATAACTGCAGGTGCTTGAAATAGTCCCAGCATATAGTAAGTGCTCAGGTAATGAGAACTAGTCTCTGACAGTGGGAGCGCGCACTGTGCATCTCAAAGCCTTTGCTCGCTCGTCCTTACCAAAGGGGAACTTTGGGTGAGGACCGGAATCCAGTTTGGGCACCACCTCACACCAACTGGATCAGCGTTGCCTCTCCACAGATTCCGGGACCCAAACGCCTGCCCCACCTCAGGCGTCCCTGCCCCAGCTCTGTGCAAGCAGCAGCTGATCCGTCCTCCCATCAGCCCTCAGCTCTGTGCAAGCAGCAGCTGATCCGTCCTCCCATCAGCCCTCAGCTCTGTGCAAGCAGCAGCTGATCTGTCCTCCCATCAGCCCCGTGCGGTGGCCTTCAGCAGCCCATTTTAGAGATGGTAAAGCAGAGGCACAAAGGGTGAAGCATCTTGCCTGAGGCCGCACAGCCAGAAAGAGGGGAACATTGGGACTGGGAGCCACGGTCTGGCTCCAAAGCCTGTGTCGTCAACTCCTATAACACACTGTCTTCTGAGCCCCAGGCACCTTCCCAGCACCTCCCAGGACCCTAGGTCTCATTCCCGAAAGACTTAGCAGCCTGGCCAGGGAGGGAACTGGCTGGCTGATCTCTTACCACTGGGCCTTGAGAGCTCCCGGTCCAGTCCGTCTGCTCAGCCCCAGCCCCAGGCTGGGGGGAAAAGGAATAGGGAGGAGGGGGGGGGGAGACCCCAGCCATTGGCTGCCCAGGCATGACATCAGCAGGGGTGGGTGGTGGGGAAACAAACATCCCCTCTCCCAGCTACATTCACTCACCAGGGGGTGGGGAGCCAAGACAGCTGCCACTCCCTGGCCTGGGGTGAGACTGACAACATAAACCCAGCTCTTGGGATTTGCGCTCTTGGGATTTGGACGTTGCTATAGCTCCTTGGAGACTGAGCACCCCATCAGCACGAGTTCCTGGCTTCCAGAAATAAGCATGGCCCTGCTGGGTCCTGGGGCCCCTATAATAAACTCTTACCACTCCCTCTCCCACTCAGTTTGGGTTCAAACACCAGCTCAGCCACCTCCTGACTATGTGACCTTCAGCAAGTCAGCATCTCTCTGGGCCTCAGTTTCTTTATTTCTAAAACAGATAGTAAAAGTGCTCAACTGATGGGGTTGTTGTGAAGATTAACTGAATTAAAAGAGGCTAAAAACTTGGAAAAGTGTCTGGCAGAGAACAAATGCTACATATAAGTATTTTAATACATACAGATCAGCCCAGCTGGTGTGGCTCAGTGGTTGAGCATCCACCATGCATCAAGAGGTCACCAGTTCCATTCCCGGTCAGGGGTACATGCCCAGGTTGTGGGCCAAATCCCCAGTTGGGGGCGTGCAGGAGGCAGCCAATCGTTCTCTCTCATCCTTGTTTCTATCTCTCCCTCTCCCATTCTCTCTAAGATCAATTAAAAAAATTATATATATAAAAAAGACATACAATCAGGGGCCAGCTAGACTTATCAGGGCTTTTGGCCTGAGTGAGGCCGGGCACAGCGGAGTCCCACTACTCTGCCTAATGGAGTTGCCATTGCGGGGACACCTATCCTGTGCTAAATACTGTGCAAGGTGGGTAAATTTTACCCAGTCTTTAGCTATACAGCCAGGAGGTGGTGGAGCTGGGGTCCAACTCCAGTTCTGCTGGACCCCAAAGATGCTGCAACACTCTTGTCCCCTTCATATAACAGACAAGCAGGATCCAAGAGGGTGACACCCACAGCCACACACAGCAGGTAGCTGGTAGCACCAGAATTTGAACCCAGACCTGCCCAACTCCCAAACCAAGGCCTACAGGCTTCATCCTGATACCCTGGCCCCCGGCCCCCAGCCTGCCCTGACTCACCAGGCCCCGGGGGGCGGCATAGGAAGCACAAGTACCCCCACATGCCCCTTGCACCCACCCGGCCGCTACCTTGGATGTTTGCAGCTCTCTGAGCCCAGGCCTGGGACAGGGGCTGCTATGAGGCTGGGGATTACCCCCAAAATGCATGTCAGCAGCTTCCACCCATTGTCTAGGCAGGAGAGGCAACCAGGCTCTCTCCTGAGTCGGCAGCCTCAACCCCCACACCAGCCAGCTCAGTGGTCCCCTCTGACTGACTACACTGCATGTTCAGGGTCAACTTCTGAGGACTCAGGGACCAGGAACGGGTTGGCAAGATCCCAGAATGCTCGGGACCTCCCCTCTTCTCTCCGAAATGCCCCCTGCCCACTCTCAGCCACCGGAGAAGGCAGGAATGTGCTGAGCTCTGGGGAAAGCCTTCCAGGCCTGGCAGCCAGCAAGGGTTGGGGTGTGGCTGGAACCCAGCCAGAACCCTCCTCCCAGAAGGAGTGGAAGGGACAGTGTGGTCAGGGCTGCTGATGGGCCTGAGGAGACCCTCACCCCATTGCTCTCTCTCTCTCTCTCTCTCTCTCTCTCTCTCTCAGTCAAATATTCATCTGTTCATGTATTCATTAAAAAGCCATCCACAAGCCCTTGGTGGCAGGCCCTTTGCTGGGCACTAGGGACACTGACAGACCTAAATTCACTCCGGGATGGAGACAGGCTCAGGAAAAGATTCCTGGAGGAGGAGACATAGAAAGTCCAACTGAAGGGTGGAGAGGAGGGAGCCAGGTAAAAAGGTGGGGAAGGGGCTTCAGGTGGAGGCAATAAATGGACCAAGTACCAGAGGGGAGAAGGGATCAGGCTTTTGTCCAGTGTCAGCCGTTAGTGAGCACCTGGTCTTGTGCCCAGCCCCATGCTGAATGGCGCTGGGGACACCATGTGACCAAATAGCTGGGGCCTGATTTCACAGAGTGCAGAGAGTTCACGGCCCAACAGGGAGACAGACCAGCACGGCCAGGGTTGGGATGGCGACTCACAGGCAGAGAGGCCATCGGGACCTTGCTGGGGGAGCCTAGGAAAGGTGCTGCTCCAGCCTAGGAAGGGAGGTCAGGGAAGGGTTCCTGGGGGAGGGGACATGTGAGCTGAGACTTGAATGACTCATAGGCAAGAGAAGAGACTGTAAACCAGGGAAAGAAGCAGAAGGGACAGCCTGTGCAAAGCACCCACATCCCAAGAGAGCTCAGCACATAGGAAATGTGTCCGTGTTCATAGCTGTGTCCCTGGGGCCAAACATGTCCCTTCTTTTTTTTTTTAATCCTCACCCGAGGACATTTTTCCATTTTTTGTTCAGATAGAGCAGGAGGAAGAGAGAGGAAGAGAGAGAGAGAAACATCGATGTGAAGGGACACATCGAGTGGCTGCCACCCGCACCACCAACCAGGGCCGGGGACAAACTGCAACCAAGGTACGTGCTCTTAGCGGGAACCGAACCCGGGTCTCTCTGTACCGCAGGTCGACGCTCCAACCGCTGAGCCAAACCGGCCAGGGCTAAACATGTCCCTTCTTTAGCATCTCCATGTCATTTATACATTTATTCACCAGCTATTAGCAGACACCTCCTCTGTCTCCATTCCCCGGCCGGGCGGTGCTAGGGACACAGCAGTGATAGTAACTGTGCCCTCACAGAACTCACAGTTGAAAGGAGACAGACGTTAAAGTGATCAACAGAATGAGTATATCATTACACATAAGTGATAGGAAAGACAGATCTAGGTCTATATGAGGGGCCTGGCACTCTGGTACCATCAGAATGGGCAGGGAGGGCTTCCTGGAGGAAGTGACCTTTGAGCTGGCACCTGAAGGATACATAGGCATTCATACAAAGCTGCGGGTGGTAAATGAGAGTGGGTTTCAGGTAGAGGGACTTGCACGTGTGCAAAAGGCTCCTCTGAGAAACCGATGAATGTGAGAGTTTGAGGAGAGGAGAGGTCAGCAAGGTCAAGAGGAGGGGCTGGAACTTTGTCCTGAGAGCCCTGAGTACCTACAGGAGGGACAAAGTCAGAACTGAGTTTTAAGCAGTTGAGGGTGGAAAGAGTCTGACCACAAGCCAGGCTAGAGTCGGGAAGAAAATCCACCCTGTCTGCTCAAGGAGTCGGGTACGTGCTATCCCGTTTCTGTCCGTGTCTGAGGGCAGACCCTTGCTTGTTCCCATCTCAGGGTGTCAAGCATTCAGTCTTTTGCCATTAAGTAAGCTGTTAGCTGTCAGTTTTGTGTAGCTGCCCTTTCGCAGGTGAAGGACGCTTCTTTCCCTAGGTTAGAGTGTTTTTGTCATGAAAGGTATGTCTCCTCTGTGTCTCTGTTCCTCCGTCTCTGTTTTCATTCCTCAGCTCTGTCTCTCTCTGTATCTCTTTGACTCATTATCTCTGTCTCTCTCTTTCTCTGTGTCTCTTGCTTTCCCTTCACCCAAGAGGGTGTGGCCATGGGAAGTTGAGTTTAGAGGTTGGCACCAGTATCCTGGTTCTGGCCAAGGCCACCTCAGTAAACACAGGACATCCTGCAGGGCTGGGGGAGGAGGTGGAAGCTTCTGCTCAGGGACCACCCTCTCCCCACCCAATCTGAGTTGAGCAGGAGCCAGGTCCCACCCCGTGCAGCCAAGGGAAACTGCTGGTTCCCTCACCTCTGTCCTTAATGCCTGCTCCTGCCCCCGGCCCTCTCAACTGAGCTCTAATCCCAGAACCCAGCCGCTTAGATGCTTTGCACTCACCATGTCCCTCTCTGGCCTTGGTGACAACCACAGACCTGCTCCTCCTCCTGGTCACCGTTCCAGGGTGGCCCACCGTCCCAGTCCCCTAGCTAGAGCCCTAGGTCTTGTCCTAGGCTCCTCCTTACAGTTTATCAATCCCTTTCCTCTCCCCTTGACTGCTCCCAGCCTCCCCTCTGGGCTCCCAGCCTCCAGTCTCATCTCACCTCCTCTCCCCTTGGCTGCTCCCAGCCTCCCCTCTGGGCTCCCGGCCTCCAGTCTCATCTCACCTCCTCTCCCCTTGGCTGCTCCCAGCCTCCCCTCTGGGCTCCCGGCCTCCAGTCTCATCTCACCTCCTCTCCCCTTGGCTGCTCCCAGCCTCCCCTCTGGGCTCCCGGCCTCCAGTCTCATCTCACCACCACCACGTGCACATGGCAGCCAGAGCGATCCCTTCACTTCTAGGTCCCTTTACCCTAGTGCCTTCAGACTGAAGTCCTTCATCCAGTGTCTTGTGTGCCCTGGCCCCTGCCCACCCCTCCAGCCCCATCACTGACCTTTCACTATCCCCCTCATTCCAGTCAAACCCAGTAACATATAGGTCCCTGAAAAGGCTGTAGGGTCCCTTACCACCTAACTCTTGCACATACTGTTCCCTCTTTCTGGAACACTCTTCCCTCAGAACAACAGCCATTTGAAGTGGGTACTGTTACTGTCCCAGCTTAGAGATGAGGACCCTGAAGCACAGAGAAGTTCAATACTTTGCCTAGGGTCACACAGCCACAGAATGGCAAAACTGAGGTTCAAACACAGGTTGTCTGGCTCTCAACACAACCACAGCTCTAAGGCTTATCGTGTCAATAATCATTGGCTAAGCATCATTCGATTTCTGTGCCAGGACCGCACACCCTAGGTACTTAGCAAATATTCACTGAATGGGGGAACTGGACAGGGGTGGAAGTTGAGCCTTGGAAGGTGCAAGGTTCAGATCCCAGAGGACTAGGATAGATTCTGAGCCCTGGCCGGTTTGGCTCAGTGGTTAGAGCATCAGCCTGCGGTCCCAAGAGACCCGGGTTCAGTTCCCGCTAAGGGCACGTACCTCGGTTGCAGTTTGTCCCCGGCCCTGGTTGGGTTGTGTGGGTGGCAGCCACTCGATGTGTCCCTTTCACATCGATGTTTCTCTCTCTCTCTCTCCCTCCCACTCTATCTGAATAAAATATCAAAAAATGTCCTCGGGCGAGGATAAAAAATAAAAAAATAATAAAATCAATAAAGGATAGATTCTGAGGGCCTGGAGCAGGGGAGAGATGTGGTCAGATTTTCCTTTTAGGTAGGGCCTGGCACATAGTAGGTATTCATAAATCTTTGCTGAATCAGAACCAGAAAGAAGGGAGGGAGGGAGAAGACCAAGGACAGGAAAGAAGTGCGTGTGTGATGGGGGGGTCTCTGTGAACGTCCATGAAGGGGAGCAGCACTGGGGGTGCTGTGGTGGGAACACACAGAGGCTCTGTGAAGGGCAGCAGCAACCCAGGGCTGGCAGCTCAGCGAGGAATGATGTGGGCCCTGGAATCTGCTGGCTGAGGCCACGTGGCCTCCTGGGGTTGAGCCTGAGGGTGGAGGTGCACACCAGAAAGCCAGGGAGCCTGTACACTCATCCCGAGATCAGACCTGGGGAGAGCAGGGCAGGTCCTCAGGCACAGCTGTTCATAAACCTGAGGGGGAACGGGACCAGAGCTGATCTAGCCCATATGGTGCTTTTGTACCAAAGACGTGCCCCTTCGCTAAGGCACCTGACCTCCATCTGCTTGGAAACTGTCATAATAAATATGTAAATACACGGTGCCCAAGACATTTGTGGAAGGCCCTTAAGTATGGAGGCTATGTGCAGTGCACAACATCTGCAACTGTACCCAGTGGCTCTGGGGAGAGGGGGGCATTGCTGGCGGAGCAGGCACAGGGGCAGATGGGAAGAATCACTGACAGATGGGTTGGCTGTCTGCATCAGTAGGTATCACGGATTATCCAATTTGGCACTGGGAGACATCAGGAACAGGCCCCCAGGGTTTTGTAAACAGAGGGTATTGCTGACCCCACACCGGGGGACTCGTACCACTCAACACATCTCCAGGAAACAGAAGGTAGTGGCATCACAGACCCCCAGACTGGGCACCAGGGGGCATTGCTGAGCTCCGCCCAAAGTCCCAAGCTCTGGGTCTGGGTCAAAACTGAATCTGGCCTTGGCTGGTGTTGCTCAGTGGTTACTCCAGGTCAAGTGCATGTACCTCGTTGGCAGGTTAGATCCCTGCCCCAGTCGGGGCTTGTGTGGGAGGCAACCAATCAATGTGTCTCTCTCCTATCAATGTTTCTCTCTCCCCCCCTCCACTCTCTCTAAAAAAATATATATATATCCTCTGACCCTGGCCGGTTTGTCTCAGGGGTTAGAGAGTCGGCCTGCAGACCAGAGTCCTGGGTTCGGTTCCCGCTAAGGGCACGTACCCCGATTGCAGTTTGTCCCCAGCCCGGCTGGGGTTGCGTGGGTGGCAGCCAGTTGATGTCTCTCTCTCACATCGATGTTTCTCTCCCTCTTCCTCCCTCCTGCTCTATCTGAAGATAAAATGTAAAGAAAATGTTCTCGGGTGAAGATTAAATATATATATATCCCCAGTGAGGATTTAAAAAACAAAAAATAAGCCTGAGTCCCACTGGAGTCAGGCACCAGCCTGGGCACCAGCTACCTTCCGGCCATTTCCAAGCCCCTGCAGGGCCGCCTCATCCACTTCCAGAAATGGGCAAGACTTCCTCTGCTCCTCCAGGAAGCTGCCCTCTGCCCGCCCCTTCCCCGCCCCAGGGGCCCGCCCGCAGCTACCCGCCCCCCCCAGTTCCCTCCCCACCTCTGCCTTCCTGAAGCCACCCGCTGGAGGAGCGGCGCTGGTGCTCAGCGATCCCGGTGTCCACTCGCAGGGGTTCGAGGCCCAGCCCCGGAGGCCCCGGCCCGGCCTCCTGTTCCGCCCCTGCCCCTCCCCCACCCCCGCCCGCTGCCCTGCCCCCACGGCCGCCAGGAAGGACGCCGCCTGGGTCCCGTGCCAGGCCTCTGAGTGTGCGCCCCGCCCAGCCGGGCCAGGAATGCGGCTGGACCGCGGGGGCGGCACAGACACCCGGCTCTCAGGCCAGCCAGCCCTGTCACACAGGCAGCCAGGCAGGTGGCCTCAGCCCGCTGGGGCCTGGGTTTCTTCCAGAAGGAAAGCAGGACGGCCCGCCTGCCTGCCGGCCCAGTCAGGCCACCAAAGCCAGTGGCTTTAGTTCCAAGTCAGCTTCCAAGCTGCCTGTTCCCTGCCCAAATTGAGATCGGAGACCTGGAATGTTATACATATTTTTAAGTTGCGGGAGTCTCCCTTTCCATCACCGGTTTCCTGGAGAGCTTCGTCCTGGTGTTCTTTGGAGAGGCTCCATCCACCCTCCAGCTTTGTGCTTTTATTTCTGGCTCATTCTGAAAGCTCCCTTTTGCCCCTACCCCCAGCCCCCAAGACACACAGGTAAGGACTAGATTTCATTATTAAAAAGTGGCCTATCGATTCTCGGCCTTTTGGCTAAGATCAAGTGTAGTATCTGTTCTTATCAGTTCAAAAAGTGGCCTGGGGTGCTCTGACCAGTGTGGCTGTTGGTTATAATGTCCTACCCACACAAGGGTCTGGGGTTCAATCCCCCCTAAGGGCATGTGCAGGAGGCAACCCATGGATGTTTCTCTCTCTCCCTCTCCCTTTCTCTCTCTCAGGAATCAATGAAAAGCATATCCTCGAGTGAGGCTTAAGTAAAAATTTGTTTTTAAATAAACATAAAAAGTGGCCTGGGACTCCTCTGCCACCACCACTACCATGAAACAGGGACACCAGGGAACCTGGCTGAGAGCCTTCCCCAGGCGTTTTCTAAAGAGCCAGTTACCAGACCTAGTCGGTCTGCTTCTCAGACCAATAAAATGGTAAAGTTCATGATGTGAAACCCACCTCCTCAAACGATGACTTCCTGGAGCCTCAGTTTTCTCAACTGTAAAATGGGGATAATAAAAATGCCCATCTTGTTATGAGAATAAATGACGTAACACATGTCAAGTGCTAAGAGCTGTGCTCAGTACACAGTCTGTGGTCAATAAATGTTAGAGGTTATCTCACCCTCGCTTTACCCCAGAGACAAAGAAATATACAGATTTGAGATTTCCCGGGACTGGTTTTTAATTTCAAAAAACTGGTTGGGGTCTCTTTCCACATCAGGGAGACCCATACCTCAGGGGAGTCAGTCCAATACTAGGCCTGGTCCAATCACAATCCAGCCACCAGGCTCTGTCATTCCATCATAAGGTCCGATCCCAAACTCCTCCCATTAGTTTGAGACAAGGGGACAGAGGTGAAGCTGCCCAGGGCTGATTCTGTCTCTCCAAAACCCCCATCTCTGTTCCAGGGAAGCTAGCTGTATCTTTCCAAGGAAAGTTGGTTCAGCCACCAACTCTCAGTTTAGTCACCAGACAACCCTCCCAGCCCTGGGGTCAGCGCCCTGGCCCCGGTGGCCGTTCCAGTGCCTGCGTGCCCACCAGCACGTCCATGAGGTAGTCCAGCTCAGCCTCGTCCAGCTCTGGAGCTTCCTCCTTGCCTGACGCATCTTCAGGGCCAGGTTTGAGGCCCTCAGAGGTTGGCACCCAAAGTTCACTGTCATACATAGAGGTGTCGATGTCCTCAAACAGGCCCTCGAGCCCATCCTCTAGGAGACAGCCAGTGGCTGGGCCCAGCAAGTCCAAGGCACCCAGGGTGGGTGGGGCTCCCCCAACTGGACGGCCCAGTGGTCCCTCATCTGCCAGGGGCTGGGGGGCCTGGTTCAAGCCCTCAATATGGCTTAGGTCCTCCAGAAGGCTGGCCACAGAGGCTGAGAGGGCGGCGTCCGAGCTGGCCAGCAAATTGTCAGCCACGCCAGGGGCTGCAGGCGGGCTGGGCACAGGTGGCAGGGCAGTTGTGGGCACCATGGACGCCTGGATGCGCCGCAGCGTGTTCACTACCAGCACCAGGTGCCGCAGGTTCGGCTCACTCTGCCGCAGGCTGTGGTGGAGCTTGAGCACTGAAAGGTCAAAGAGGGAACTGGAGGCCGCAGCTGGGGGTGCCTGTGCCACTGCTGGGTGGCCAGGATCCAGCCACCAGGTATCCACTGCCAGGCCTTCCTTCTCCTCCTCCTCCTCCTCCTCCCGCTTGCGCTTCAGGCCCTTGCTCAGCATCATCTGTGGGTAGGGAGGAGTCACTGAGTTATGGAAAGCCAATGTTAAGTTCAAACCCTGGCTCTGAAAACTGCTGTGTGATCTTGGGCAAGTCACTTAACCTCTCTGAACCTAGATTTTCTTAGGGAATCTTTAAGATATTAGTATATACTTCCTAGAGTTGTTTTGAGGAATATGAGATTAAAAAAAACAAAAACAAAAAAACCACTAAGCCCTGTCCGGTGTGGGTCAGTTGGTTGGAGAGACCAAAAGGTTGTGGGTTCGATTCCCAGTTAGGGCACATACAGGAGGCATCCTATCAATGTTACTCTCAATGTTTCTTTCTTTCTCTCTCCTTTCCTCTTTGGAATCGATGGAAATATATCCTTGGGTGAGGATTTAAAAAATAAAACACTACAATAGTGCCTGGTACATAACAATTTCTCTCATGAATAAGTACTAGTATTAATAACAATTACAATCTATTATACATTATGTCTTCAGTGAACCATATAAAATAGTCAATATTAAAAATTTTTTTACCTACAAAAGCAGCTGTTTTACATAGTTTAATATTTATTGAGTACCATGCATCAGACAATTAACAAACACAGGGAATGTGCAGATGGTGCTAGGAAGATACTAAAAAGTTCTGGGGAGTGGTCAGGGAAGGCTCCTCTGAGGAGGTGACATTTGAGCTGAGCCCTCAAGCATGAGGAGTCGCCATGGAATAATGAGGGGATTGGGAACAACCAGGGGGAAAGCAATCCAAGAAGAGAGAACAGCAAAGGCAAAGAAAGACTCGGAGGCCAGAAGAGTTTAAGCATTAAAAAAAAAAAAAAAAAAAAGGCCAATGAGTTTCAATAGTACCTAAAACAAAAACAAAAACAAAAAGACCTGTGTGGTCAGTGCACAGAAGTAACAAGAGTGAGAGTGGGAAGGGGGTGTGTGTGGAGATTAGACAGAAGCAAGAAGTTGGAAGTGTGGTGGGAAGTCACTGAGGAGGTTTGAGCAGGGGGGATAGTGGTGGTGTGAATTGATTAGGTTTCCAGAAGCTCCCCGTTGGCTACTTCGAGGAAGATGGGGGTTTCGGAGAGAAGAGGGAAGAGATCCATTCGGAGGCTACTGCACTCTTCGGGGCGGGCGCTGGTGGTGGTTTGGAGTAGAAGGTGGTAATGGACATTGGAGGAAGTTGGTCGATTCAGGATTTATTTGGGAGACAGAGTGGACAGAGCTTGCCAGGAAATCCTGATGGACACAGGGGTCACTGAGAACATAGGAGGACCCACACTTTCCCCGCGGGGGACGTCCCTGGAACTCTGGACCTCTGGCCCAAGCTGCTTTTTTGAGCCAGGCAGCCGGCAGGGTCCAGTCCCCGGACCCTCGTCCAGCAGGACCTTAACTCTTCACACTACTCAGAACTTGGTCCTCGCCTCCTGCCGGGTAGACCTGGGAGTCCCAAACCGCAGGAATTCAGCCCCCTGCCCCGACTCCGCCCCCACTCCCCGCGCCCCCTAGCGGCGCCAGGCGGGCCTTCCTCCCGGGACTCCGGCCCCTTAGACCCCGGGACCCTTCAACCGCCCCGCGTCTTGGCTGTCGTTCCCGCCTGCCGACCGAGGTCGTGCCGACCGGGATCCTGGGCAGGCTGTTCTGCCCTTTCGGCCTCCGCTCGCTACCGGAAGACAGTGGAGGCGGCTCCTCCTGAAGCGGCGGCGGCGGGGGCGGGTGAGTCACGCAGCCGGAGCCATGGAGCCGGCGCCTCCGCCCCCTTCTTGGGCTGCGGCGTGATTCACCCGGCCCGGCCGAGGCTGTCGGCACTCAAAGTCCACCATGTCTCGATCCCGGGCAGCCCCGGCCCACACCTGCCGGACCCGGGGATCGAACCTGCTAAAGGCCCCCGCCACTGGTACCCCTTCTTCCCCTACCTAGGCCCCTTCCCCTCATTTACATACCCAGTTCACTAGCTGCCAATCAGAACGCAAAGGGAGCTACCCGCAGCCAATCAGGAAGCGGCGGCGGCAGCATCGCTCGCTCGTTCTCCTTCAGCAACCCGCACCTGGGTCGGGAGACGCAGTTCTGACTCCGGCGCACGACTCCAGGCTCCTGACTCCTCTTAGCTACCGCCCACTCCCGTGGCAGACCCGCCTTCCACCCAGGGATTGGCCCTGGACTGTGATGGGCGGAGCCTGTGGGCAGGTTCAAAGGGAGGGGAGTTTGGCTTCAGGGCGCATGCCCTGGCGGCGGAGTGAGGGGAGGAGAGAAGTCACTGCTACTTCCCTTGGCAGTTGTCCGGAGGGGCCTTTTGCCCCCTAAGGTGAGGACCTCTTACACCGACCCATGCACCTGCCAAACCTAAGCAATTGAGCTTCTTACGCACCCGGCCCAACAGGGGATCTACACTCTAGGCCAGATAGGCCTGGGTTCAAATTCTGACTCACAATTGGATGTGTGACCTTGGGAAAAGTCTTGACCTATCTGAGCCACATGAAGCCTGTTAAATGGGGATCTTGTAGCTTACCTCTCGAGTTAGGAAAATTAAAATAAGATCGTATTTGTAAGAGCATTATACCAGACTCAGCAAATGCTGGCAGATGGACTCAGTTGTGGGAGTCAAAAGGCAGGAGTGGGAGGGGAGGGGGGATGCCACTGGAGTCATACTAGGCTCCATTCCCAAGTGTGACTTTGGGCAAGGGTTTTAATTCCTTAGAGTCTCGATTTCCTCATCTTTGTTAAAATGAGGGAAATAGCGCTGGGGCAGAGGATTGTTGTGGATTAAATAGAACAATTTGTGCAAAATGCTCAGAGTGGTGCACATCCTGTCATTTTATTAGTAGTAATAGTTGTTCTCGTAATAGCACGGGAGCTTAGTTCAAGTTCAAGTGGGCGACACTCAGGGTGGCATATAGGGGACAGGAGTTTAATACTTGTCAGATAAACTGACAATGGGACTTCCTTCTCCAAGAAGCTCATTTGCTAACTCTTCAGGAGCTGTGGGAAGAACTGTTAGTTGTGAATAATGCTCCTGGTCAAAGTAAGCTCTCAAATATGCTAACTATACTATGCAGCATATTTTACAATTGCCAAGATATGGAAGCAATCTAGGTGTCCATTGATAGACAAATGGTTAAAGAGGACGTGGTACATATTATTGGCACAAGAACATCAAAATCTGTAGAGAGCCCTGGCCAGTTTGGCTCAGCGGTTGAGCGTCGGCCTGCGGACCAGAAAGTCCCGGGTTCGTTTCCCTCTAAGGACACGAACCACCGAAAAAAAAAATGTGTAGAGAATCTTTATAACAGTCTATCTGAACCAAACTGAGGACATATGCCAGGAAGCAAGATCGCAAATGCTACAGCAAATGACAGTTTGCAGTTCCTTTTATACATTTAGATTTAAGGAGAGAACATAAGGAAGATTACATTAAGGTGGGAGAAAGCAAGGCCAGGATTGGATTACAGGATAGTTAACAATGTGCTCTCTCGAAGGTGGTTACATTTCTGAGGGGTCTGAAAAAGAGGCATTTCAAAAGTGCACTAACCTAAATACACAAGAACAATGGCAGGACTTGCTTAAGGCAAAAATAAACCTCTTATAGCCCTGGGGTGTGACTACTCCCCATAAATGCCCACTTGGGAATTTATGATCAGTTCACCCTGTGAGGTTACTTTCTATCACTGCACTTTGTCAAATTTATTACATAGCCTCCTTTTCATCCCCATTCCCTCCTTTTGGTCATAAATCAATCTGAAGGATGCATTGATGACCAACTTTTTTCTCGGTTAGTGTGATGTCACAGCACTAGGAAGGCTCGTTCCTAGGAAGTTTCAGTATCCAAGTTAAATTGTTGAAATGGTGAACCTTTGGCAGTGGACGATACCATAAGTATGAGGTGTGAATTGAGGCTGAACTTTCCCAAAAGGGCAGGGAAGCTAACAGAAGGCAGTCAGGTCTTATGGGTCTTTATTACAAAAGAACTCTGGCCCTGGCCAGTGTGACTCAGTTGGTTGGGCATTGTCCAGTGCACCAAAATGTTGCTGGTTTGATTCCCAGTCAGGGCATGTGCCTGGGTTGCAGGCTTGATCCCCAGAAGGGGGCATGCGGGAGGCAGCCAGTCAATGTCTCTCTCTCTCTCAAAATCAATTAAAAAACAACACCACCACCACTCTGGATCATTTATATTTTTCTTTTTCTTTTTCTTTTTTTTGTTAATCCTTACCCAAGGACATTTTTTCTTTTTCTTTTTTTTTTAAATTTTTTTCTTTATTGATTTTTTAGAGAGAGAAGTGGGAAGGAGAGAGAGAGAGAAATATCAGTGAGAGAGAACATTGACTGCCTCCTGCATGTCCCCCACTGGGGATCTGGCCCACAACCTGGGCATGTGTCCTGACCGGGAATCAAACTAGCGATTCTTGGTGCATGGGTCGATGCTCAACCACTGAGCCACACCAGCCGGACCCAAGGATATTTTTCCATTGATCTTTAGAGAGAGAGAGATAGAGAGAGAGAGACATCTATGTGAGAGACACATCAGTTGGTTGCCTCCTGCACTCACCCTGGACTAGGGCTGGGGATCAAACCTGCAACCCAGGTATATGCCCTTGACTGGGGATGGAACCCACCACCCTTGGTCCACAGGCTGATGCTCTAACCACTTAGCCACTGACCAGGGCCCCTTCTTTTTTTTTTTTTGAGCATGAAAATAAAATTTGTATTTTCAGTTATTACCCACCAGTAAAAGATAGTTAGGTTCACAGTTTTAGCTCTTAACACTAAGTAAACTAGGAGGCAAATTTACACCCATCAGATGCAACTAACAGACCAACTTTTTAAAGTTCAGACTATCATGACAGCTTACCACATATTAGTTATTGCTGTGTATTCTCTAGTGACAGAATGCCAGCAACGGCTAACAGCAAGTGGAACTGTGAAGTGTTTTTATATATTTATTTATTTTATTCCTCACCCAAGGATATTTTTCTATTTATTATTAGATAGAGTGGGAGGGAGGGAGAGAGAGAGAAAGAGAGAGAGAAGAGAGAGAAACATCGATGTGATAGAGCCACATCGACTGGTTGCCTCCCGCATGACCCGACCAGGGCCAGGGACAAACAGCAACCAAGGTATGTGCCCTTGACCGGAATCAAGCCCAAGACTCATTGATCTGCGGGCCAACGCCGCTAATCCAGCAGTTCTCAACCTGTGGGTCGCGACCCCTTTGGGGGTCTAACGACCCTTTCACAGGGGTCTAACAACCCTTTCACAGGGGTCGCCTAAGACATAACAGTAGCAAAATTACAGTTATGAAGTAACAACGAAAATAATTTTATAGTTGGGGGTCACCACAACATGAGGAACTATACTAAAGGGTCACCACAACATGAGGAACTATACTAAAGGGTCGCTACATTAGGAAGGTTGAGAACCACTGCTCTAATCACTGAGCCAGACCAGCCAGGGCAACTTGTGGAGTGTTTTTAATAGCAGGTGTTTTCTATGTGTTGCTAGAAATCAGGAAGTTTATAGCCCAGCCCGTGTGGCTCAGTGGGTTGAGCGTCCTCCCATAGACTGAGAAGTCCCGGTTCAATTCTCGGTCAGGGCACATGCACAGGTTGTGGGCTCAATCCCCAGTAAGGGACATGCAGGAGGTGGCCAATCAATGTTTATTGAAATCGATGTTTCTATCTCTCTATTCCTAAAAAATCAATAACTATATATATATATATTTTTTTATCCTCACCCGAGGATATTTTTCCATTTTTTGTACAGATAGAGTGGGAGGGAGAGAGAGGAAGAGAGAGAGAAACATCGACGTGAAGGGACACATCGAGTGGCTGCCACCCTCACGACCAACCAGGGCCGGGGACAAACTGCAACCGAAGTACGTGCCCTTAGCGGGAACCGAACCCGGGTCTCTCCGGACCGCAGGCCGACACTCTAACCGCTGAGCCAAACTGGCCAGGGCTAACAATATATTTTTTAAAGAAGTTTATAAACATGTTACATGTCCAGAAGTGAGTTAAAATACTTGAAAGTCTAAACACACTGACTTAGGAATACACATATTACAATCTCAAGAGGTAACCAATAGTTCATATAGTTAAACTGATAATTGCATCTGATAACCAAAACTTCGATTACTTCTGCCGCAAGTCTGACCACCTTCTGAAATAAAAATGCCATTAAAAAAATACTTGCCTCTGGGTAGCAGGTATGTTTGTGAATTTAAAATTAAATTAGACATTTGTATCCGTACAGAACATGCTCAGAATCATAATATCTAAAACACCAGCACACGGTTTGGGATCATTTATAGCTGGTGAACTATCGTGATCTGAGTTTTGCTGTCTGTCTCAATATATACAATGGAATATTACTCAGTCATAACAAAAGAATGAAATCTTGTGATTTTCAATAACATGGGTAGACCTAGAGGGTATTATGCTATGTAAAATAAGTCAGAGATAAACAAATATATGATTTCACTCATATGGAATCTCAAAATAAAACAGAAACAAACCCATAAATAGAGAACAAACTAATGGTTGCCAGATGGGAGCAGGGGTGGAATGGGTGAAAAAGGGTAAAGGCAATAAGAAGTACAAACTGCCAGTTATAAAATTAGTCACAGGAGGTCAAGTACAGCATAAGGAATATGGTCAATAATTCTGTAATCACTATGTATGGAGTGAGATGGGTACCAAACCTATTGTGTTGATCATTTTGTAAGGTATATAAATATCTAATCAGTATGTTGTACATTTTAAATAATATAATATTGTATGTCAACTGTAATTGAAAAATAAATTTTTAAAAATGCTAACTAGCCTGGCCGGTGTGACTCAGTGGTTGAGCATCAACCCATGCATCAAGAGGTCACCAGTTTGATTCCCGGTCAGGGCACATGCCCAAGTTGTAGGCCTGATTCCCAGTGGATGGCATGCAGGAGGCGGCCAATCGATGCTCTCTCTCATTGATGTTTCTATCTCTCTCCCTCTCCCTTCCTTTCTAAAATCAATAAAGAAAAAACATTTTTTAAATAAATAAAATGCTAACTAGTTGATTTAGGCAACTATTAGCAATGGATG